AGGGATATCCAAAATAAATCTTAATAAAGAAGATTCGTCTTGAAAATTAGCTTCCGAAAGTTCTATTTCAGTCGGAGCTGGAAGATTCCGATCATTTATGAATCTCGAAACGACAGAAAATTTGTATTGTTTATATTTCATTATTCGAAATGATAAACTTCAAAATCTAAAATTTATTTTTTTACAATATATTTCATCCTATTGTCAAGGCTAAATTTTTCACCGGAAGTGTATCAAAAATTGATAAGATTTACGGTGATCTAATTATGACAATTCAATGCATCTCGTGATATAACGCAGATATAAACACAACTGATATTGCATAACTAATAATTGAGTCAAATAACTAAATTATGTGTTATATTTTACACATATTTCTTCAATTTTGTAATAAATGGATGTTTAACACTAATTTTTTAAGGACTTCGACTTTAGCATCACATAAATATGTTATTTTCTATATTAAAACGTAATTTTGGTGGTCTTAGAATAGAAAAATATGCAATATTCGTGGAGATAATGAGGGTTCTTAAACATGTTCTTAAAAATAAATAAAATAATACAAATCTTTATTCAATCTTTTGATATTGTTGGTCCTCTCTTTGTGAAAATACTTAACTTCAAAGAGTATTATGTTTTACCTAGTGAGGACCTTAAGTTTGCAAAAACATAATAAAAGTAAAATAAAAAAGATCGGATTTATCACAAAACTTTGAGTATTATAGGATTTAATATATTTTCTTAGTAGATTATATGATTTAGTTTCTTAAAATCTAAAGTATTTCTTGAGGAAAATATAAATTGAAATTCAAAAAGTAAAAAAAATGTAAACAAATCAAATTTTAAATGGACCAAATGTTGATTTTTCATTCGTTTTCTCATTATCGAAAAAAATTTGGAAAGCTAAGAAGTCAATAACAAGTTATATAATACAACAAAACCCACATCGGATATGTTTTCATCAAATAGTCTCCTAGATTTGTTATGAAATTAAAATATCATGATATTTTAAGGGCTTTTGATTTCAATATTAGAATTATTCAGTTATGTCGTGCTAATATCAATTGCTTTATACAATTAATCGTTTACAAGCTGCAAAAATCGAACAATAATTTGACTTTGTAAAAAAAGTGCGTCATTTTTATTCGTTATACTTACAAAATGTAAACATTACGAGAAACATTTACATTTGTAAATGTAACAAGTAAAGTTGTATCGCATAATTTGACTTTGTAAAAAAAGTGCGTCATTTTTATTCGTTATACTTACAAAATGTAAACATTACGAGAAACATTTACATTTGTAAATGTAACAAGTAAATACATCAGATTTAAATTGTAAATGTAGTTTATCTCTCTCATCTCCTTTTTAAAAGGTATTACATACATACGAACGCATGGGTCACTCAATAATTAGCGTGATAATAATTGAGGATAGACTGTAATCGTAATTTTATTTTTGGACTTATATTTCGACATTTTGAAGTCGCTTGAAAGTCTTGCAAATGATTAAATTTGGAAAATTTGACCTAAGTCTGCATTATTTTGATGACTTAAACAATTCTATAAATCTGTTTTCCTAAAAATTTAAAAAGATATAATTTCAATTTCCCTAAATTTATGTAATTCATATATCACCAAAATATTTGGACTGCATTTCGTTTGTCTGCACCTAATTAAAGTCTAAATACCAATTAATTTTGGAGTTGCATTGCTTTTAATGTAAAAATGCACGTTTAGAAAAAGACGATAACGATTAAATTACAAAATCGATAACGACGACGATTAAATTACAAAATCGATAACCTCTCAAATTTTTGATACCCTTACATTGCGTAGTTAGAAAGAGAATATGATATTGTCATGATTGCTAAAGTTTTAGGCTCCAGAAATGAATATACATCAAACTGAAACAATTGATAAATTGAATGAACTTTTGAGAGGTTCTCAAATAAAAAAAATTATCTAATTTTTTACAATATTACTATTATTTTATCCACATATGTATATATAGTAATTTGAGAAAACTTTTAGGAAAAAATAAGTTTAATAAAAATCTGAATTTTACTTGTTGTGGGATTGTTATTAATTGACACTCCAGACGTATTACTAATAGTTATGCGTATGCAATTAAAGTATTTCTGATGGACAAAATGTGAGATTTATATCAGATAATTCATTTCTACTATTAAGTTATTCATTTATGAGTTTGCACTTATTCGCACTAAATAAATAACTATTAAAAATTGTTTTAATTAATTGACACCATATAATAGAGTGAATTTTGTTTGATCAAACAACAATAGATGATAGATATAAAGCCAAGAAACTTGCTATTAATATGCTCTACTTGCTATTTCAATGTAAGTATGATATTTTCTAAATGTTTCGTTCAGATAACTTAGATATATTAGTCAAAATTTGAAATTTTAATAGCACATATATTAAAAATAATTATTATTCATAAAAGATTAATGAAATAGTAAAAAAAATCAATCAAATTATAAAAATACAACATTTAGAAGAATTCTTATTATCCTTCAAAAAGTCAGTATTTCTGCTGTAATTTTCTACAACATTGTAGTTATTGCACTTTGTCTATGGATTTGTATATATGTTATATATAAATTATATATCTAAACTGCCCATAAGTGCAATTTTTATATAAATTGTTTATTTTCTTTAACAATTTCATATGAAATATGCTTTTTTAAGCGTATCAAAGCTGTGTTCTTAATGTGCATGGATATATCAAGAAAAATGTCGAAAAAAAAATGTGAATTCACAAATTCACTGAATTTTCACCGTTTTTTGAATTTTGCTACAGCACTAATATTAAATAATACTAAAATCTTCTGTCTTTGTAAAAGAATAAATTCTGACAAAAAGTGCTCGTTTAAATTTAATGATCATCTGTATGACTAAGTGGTAAAAAGTGTTTATGACCAAAAAAGGGTTACATGCTTAGTCTATTTTTCTGACAGGATACTCTAGATTTACATGATCTCTATTTCATATCTCCGTTTTTAGATTCTTCGACAGATTTTATGATAGAAAACCAAGATTAACAAATTTCCGGCATGTTAATGAAGAAATCTGCAGCTACCCTCAATATTATTTCAATAATCAGTATCGTTTCTCTTACAATTTATTTTTTTCTCAATAATTTAACAAGAAATAACAATACACACTTGGTTTTACGTATAAAAGCTAAGTGTCGAACTTAATCAACTTTACTTACTTAGCAAATGAATATTTTTGTGGTTGCGAGTTCTGAATGCTGAAGTTTTAGATTTCTCTATAAATGATATCATTGCACTTACAATGTTGTTCCAGCCTATCGCATAAATCATAGAAAATCCAAAAAAAAATAATTAAAAAAATTCATGTCATGAAGTTCAAAAAATACCGTGTAACATTAAAATTTGTTATGCATAATACATTTTAGCTATTATTGATTTTTTTTTAATTTTCGAGAAATTGAATGGTGAGTCCGATAGAGAAATTTTTAAAAATCCTAGTGCCTCATAGAAGTAATTTCCCTCGTCTCCCATACTTCCAAATGTATGCATATGACATAAACTTTTATGCATTACACAAGTGGCCAATAATATCTATAGAGTAAAAAATTAGAAATTTAAATTTTTTATATGATAGTTATATTTCAGATTTGCGAGCGTAACTTTTTTCTCCATGGCATACTTGTTTTAAGAGCAAATGATCAAAATCGTCCTTCAATTATTGAAGGAGCTGATATCTTTTGAAAATTGAATTGAAAGGGTATTCAATTTTCAAATTTCCTCTCAATTTTGGAAACATATCAACTCTATGAATTAACAATTATGTGCCTTCACAGTTTATCAGTCATATAAGGTGCTTATAAAGAAAAAAGTTACGCTCGCAAAATATGTTTTTATATAGATTTCACATAAAATAATTATGTAATTTCTAAAAAGAATATTTTTGTTCTTGAATATTAAAGTGTATTGTAGTTTAAAAAGTTTTAAATATGTTGCTAAAATTTCAGGTTTATAGCTCATGTCTAGCATGACTTCTTCGTATGCGCAAAAAATCTGACACGTAAGGGTATCCTTAAAGACACTATGATGACACCAGGCAAATCTTCCAAGACACCTATCGTCGGGAATCTAACAACCCTACTGAATAATAACAACATCAGCCCATACAATATTCAAATATTCTTTTTCTGGATCATATTCTTCCGCCAAATTAGTTAACTTTACTTCATGATTTTTCGAAATAAGATAACTCTGTGCTTCATTTGCAAGTGATGTATTAAGTTTACCACCAGAAGGAGGATGATTGATTCCTGCATTAATGATAAGAACTTTTGCGTTCTTCATTCCAAATGAAAAAAATTTTCTTCAGCCAATTGAATTATTCTCAAAATAATTTCAATACTTTTGTGAAGAATAATCCCGATCGAAGGACAGATTCCAACGTTTATTTTCTTGTTAATTATCAATCATTTAACGTTCTTCAATTCTCTCTAGCTGTTTTTAGTTCTACTATAAACTATGCAATATTAAAGAAGGCAATCACGATTACTCAAATTTTTAATAATTTCACAATCAAATTATTTTTTTGAAATATCATATATACATAGCCTCAAAAATAACCCTTGATTTTGATATAGATTAATCCATTATTAATTGAAAAAATTCAAATATTTTTAAGAAATGATATTCAAATTGATTTTATCTAATTATAATTTCCATTGGGATTCCAAATGAAATTGTATGAATCAGTATTTATGAAGCTAAACATTAGAATATACTCGTCAAAATGTGATAATTCATCGTAAAAAATACATATTCTTTTCTATTTATTATGATTTGTATATTGCTTTGATACCAGGATGTTCTAATTTAGCAAACAATTAGCATCACCACATAAATAATTAAAAAGATTATCATCATTATCTTCTTATCTCATTCAAAAATTACAAATACATAGTTAATTTATATAAAAATATTATTTTTATTTTGATTTTTGATAAAACAGAACATAGGATTTGTTGATCATATTCTCATTGATTGAATCGTAAACAGAAATATTCTCATCGTTAGCGATGTACCATTGGCCAGTTTGGCTGTGTTTAACAACAGCCGTGTAGTGACCAAATGTTGCAACACTAGACAAATGATTAGAAACAGCGTACAAATTATATTTCTCTTGTTCCATGTCTTTGCACCATTCCTGTCCACCAATTGTTAATTCCAAAGGAACATCGACTTTATTGTCAATCTTAGTGAGAATACCAGATACACTTGAGAATCTCTTCAAGACAATGATGAGAATCTCCGGTGTCTTGTAAAGAGAAGATCGAAGTGTTGCTTTACATTTGTTGCCACAAAACGGACATTTTTTGTCTTCAACAACTGTATCAGACAACATTTCTTTCAAGCAATCATCGACAGACAAATCCTTGTATACGTTTCCTGCATCAGTTATCTCTGTGAGTTTATTCCACGTGAAACCTTTCTCACCGTAAATTTCTGTTTGATTCAAAATTGCAACAATAGGTTCATTTGTGAGTTTCAATCCCATCTGATAATAATCCTGATTCAAAGTATAATCATTCGGTATGATCAGTTCATATCTCTTTGAATCAAACAACCTCTTTGGATTGAATGTCATGTTTTCTTCGATTTCTTTGTTAGGAGGTTGTGGTTTGTCCGACCACAATTTGGCCAAAAGCATGTCATAATTAAAACTAGTTCTCGAAACCATTGGAACAAATTGGTGGCCATCTGCAACTTCGATGTTCAACAATGTTAAAGCATCTTCTGTGTCGGGGATCTCGTAAACAATATAATTGGCGTTTTTCGTGGGAATGACGAATTTTCCATTCAATGAAAAAACCAATTTATAGGAGGTTTGAACAACGGTTTTGACACTGAAAACGTAAGAATTATAAGAAGGATTCTGAGGAACAGGTACTGATATCTTTATAGGAGTAGAAAAGGTGCCTGCTGGTACAATGGTAAGGTTGATTGTCGATTCAGGAATAGGTGCAAATAAAACCCAACCGTTTTCAAATTTGATGTCACTTTTATGACAATTTGAACAGATATATTCATTCTTAGTGAAATGATAGACCATATCTGCGATTGGTGTCTTGTTTGCTATACGGAATTCATTAATAAACTTGTCAGCTGTTGACTTTTCCGATGATTGGTCGGATGATTCAGAAATTGCGATTGTTTTTCTTGTTCCTGTGTTTGTTGCTTCGATCAGGTCTTCGAATACCTTCTGAAGAAGCTCATGGGAATCTTCTTGGCGGAATTCTATGGTCGAAATTTGGAATTTAAGGCTAAGATCATATAAATCCATTTTTGATGAACGAGAAGACCATATTTGGTTCATGTAATCGCGGAATAGATCGGCTTCTTTGACTTTATCTGGTTTTCCGTTCAAATCTTTCTTGAAATTTTCACTTAAAACGTAAGAAACTAAAGGAGTTGTATGAACTAAGCATTGCATGATGGAATTGAAGAAACAGATATTAGCTCTGTTGACAAAACCAACAAGGCCTTGACGATTTGAGGGAATTCGTGAAAAAAGTTTCGAAAACTTAAATTTATTATTTTCAAGAGCTGAAGGTTGATCTTTTCCTTTGTAATTTATGTGATATGATTGAGATATTGATTTGTCGTCAACTGCAATGATGTTATTTAATGTAACTTGGCCAGAACCAGACTTTACATCTTCTTTAAGTAATTCGCAATCGTTTATTGGTAAATTAAACTGCGAGCATGCTTCTTTGAGCAAATCATAATATGTGAGATAGTAATTAAAGTGTAAAACCTTTGTTTCTCCTTTATATGTAACTGATATTTGAGGTAAATAGACAAGAAGCTCCGCAATTTGCGTTTTAGGATTTAAAAAGACTGGTATTTTGTATTCTGGACCAGCAGTAAACTTGGAATCTAAATACTTCCAAGCTGATTCAGGAATTACCATAAAATCTGAAGGCATGAGTAAATTTCTATGGATATATTTGCTCTTTAATAAACGTGTATTTGATATGGGTTGCTTGAAATCGTTTTTATTTCGTTTTGCTGCTAAATTAAATTTCGCAATCCATTTGCCATCAATTGCATACCATGGCTCATCTACTTTTGGTTGTGCAGTTTCATAGAGATGACGAAATTCTCTATAGATTTCTTTTATATCCCAGTTTTCCATCTATAATGAGTCAAATTTTTTTTTAAAAAATTGCCGTCATAATTTTTTTTTCAGGAATTTTCCTTCCAAAATATGAATTATAAGAAGATGTTTCAAAAATCATCGAATAAATCGGCCATATTTGGTGGGAAGGTGCTGAGAAACCTTCTCCAGAGGTAACAAAAACTGTTTTTCATTTGAATGAAAATTTTCCGAGCAAAGATTACTTTCTATACAGCTATACTAGGATATTTGACTTTGCTATTTATGTTTGAAGAAGATTGACTGAAGAAATCAAACATTCCGCATCGAATATTTTAAAATATCAACATTCATCCTCTATGTATCGCAGATAGCTAAAGAATCAATTAAACTTAAGACAAAGGTTCTTTCAAACGAAGGAAATGAATGCAATTCAACATATTAGTGCAAAATCCTCATCAATGCACTTCACCCACAAAGCTTAATGAGCCAGATACTAGTTTCTTATTTGTAAGTTTGTATTATTATTTGTTGGATAGATTTAATAAAATAATAAAATCTAAATATCAAATCATGATTTTATCATTCATCTATCAAATATTTTACCTTTGAAAAAATAGCAGTGTAATGCAAATGAAATGCATATTATATTTTTTTTTTCAAATTAAATTCTAAAATAACATTATTTCTTCCATTTTCGCATATAATAGCTCCCATTCTTATTCACATAATCACGTAGTTATGTTACGTGACCATAATACACATATTAATACCAGATCCCAACGATGTTGTATTCAAAAAAACCGAAAAATCACACTTCACAAAACACAAATTAAAGGATAGTACGAATCTAACCGTAATTGGAGGGTCTTTATAAAAACGATAAAAAATTTGAATTGCAGATCTGAAAATTTCAATAAATCTCAATGTTTATGACAAATAAAAAAATTCAAGCATTTCATTTTCCGATCTGTAGAGAAATGAATTGGCCTTTCTATGTTGCAGGTGCCCTTATGATTCCGAATATTATAGCAGAAATGGTTCCACTCTGCCGCAAAAAGGCGCCACCTTCGCCATTTGTTTTTCTAAATTGTTTAATTTTAAACGTTGGATTTGGATTCCTTACATCTCTTGTTACTGGAGATGAAATTCTTCAAATTACATCTTATACATGCCTTGGAGTAGGAGTTTTCTTCTTAATTTTTCCATTTGATTATTGTTATTGCAAAACATGGTTCGATGGTTGGCATTTTGCTGTTGGAGAGATTTTTAACAAAAAGCTTTCACGTCAGGATTTTATTCAACAGATGAGTGGAAATCGTGCAATTCCTCCTGAGATAACTGTTACTGCAACAGCATCACATGATGAAACCAGAACAGAATTTGAGACAGTCACTGATTCTGATGGATCTACTCACACAGAGACTAGAACTTATACAGTTACTGTAGTTACATGGCGAGATACTCAAGCATTTCATTATGAGTCTTGGCAAGAAGATTCAAATTCAATCCGTATTAAAGAGACAGATGTTGTTCATGCTGTTTGTACAGTGAAATATGATTTAGATGAGTCATGTAAAAGATCACTTGATGCATTTGAAAAAACGATGTACGATATAGCAAAAATGCACGATACTGATGTTTATACCAGTCGAAAAATGCAAACACCGAATCTCAAGCATAGCATCACCGGATATATTTGTCATGAAGAACCTTGCGAAACTAAATTCTATCAAAGTTGCATTGGTCGCTTTCTTTGGATCTTTTTCACCATGATCGGGTACCAATTAGCTTATGAATCACGTTGGGCATCATCTGGTGAGAGAATGCGTCTTAGACTTATTAAACGAATGTCAAGCCATGGATTAAAATATCGCTGTAGATATGGTCAGGATGATGTGGTTGCTGCAGAATCCACATTTAGAATAGAAAATGAGATGACTGCATTAAATTCACCACTAATCATGTCATATGAAACACCAAGTATGGATAAATCTTGGCTGAAAGATGTACCATTCACATCACCATATCAAAATCAACCTGTTGCTCTTGCTCCTCAGCAAAGTGCATCGCAACAATTATATGTTGCTCCACCTGGTAATGTTGTATCAGTTTCCATGCTTTCTGAAAAGAATGAAGATGAAAAGGCATTAAAGGATGAAAATGAAATGTCATTAAAGGATGAAAACGAAATGCCATTAAAGGATGAAAACGAAATCTCATTAAAGGATGAAAACGAAATCTCATTAAAGGATGAAAACGAAATCTCATTAAAGGATGAAAACGAAATCTCATTAAAGGATGTAAATACATGATCTTGTTTAGTAAATTTGACGTAAAATATTAATAGATATACACGACTACACATTCTCATTACAAAACAAATAATGTTCTAAATAATTCTTATATATTAAAAAGAATATAAATCATTCAAGATAAGTGTATTTGATTCTATTTGAATTAGAAAACATCGTTGAACAGATTTGAACTTAGAAATTTTTAATATTTAATTTTTTTTTTAAATGAATATTTGCATTTAATTCACAAATTACTTGATAAATATGAAATGTTGAGTCATGGTATCGATTTTAAAAGCAAATAACTTTATTAATAAAATACAAAACAAAATATAATTTGAAAACACTAAAGCTCTATAGAATAATTTATTTTTGTTCAACTTTTGGTTGCTTTTTATGCTTCTTTCCTGGCTTTTGAATCTTACATGCCGCAAATAAATAATCCGAAAGAAGTCTGATTTCATTAAACTGTTGAACACCTGAAGGAACGAATCCTGATGAAGTCAGAACTTGTCCTTTGTCATTAATATCAACTTTTTGATCGGTTAGACACCAATGAATATTTGTAAAGCCGCCTTCGCATCCGATAAATGTGTAATTGATGTTTTTCACCTTAAAAGCTTCTGTCCAGAGTAAATAATTGAGATGGAATTTAAAATTATTTTCTGTATGACAATTTAAGCGTTCTATACTACTTAATGTAATATTTAAAACATCTAAATACTGTGCAGCATTGCCGAAGAATAGAGAATTTGAAATCATAAAATTATCTTTAATTGGTTTAGTTAATTCGCCAAAACATGATTGTAGGGTATAGTATTCATCTTGGACACTTTTAATTGATCTTGGTTCTACTACAAATGATATTTTATCTGAAGGAATATCCGAAAAAGGATCTTTTTGGAAAAATATCGTTGTATCAGATACGTGAAGAACTCTTGTTGTATGAGGATGCTTTTCTAGATATATTTTTTCGTGATTTTCTATTGGATATGAATAATTAATATCTTCAACTATTTCTACATCGAATTTACGCATTTCATTGTAATCTGAATTGTGTTTAACATTTGCAGGATTAAGAAAAACTACAATTGATGCTTGACAACCAGTTGATTTAAGTGATTTGATTGCGATTATATTAAATGGCGTAATACTTTTAAAGTGCATAAATACTATATCTGTTTTTGAACTCAGTTTGCTCTTAATCGGGTTATCCATGCAAAGAAGATTTAAGGATTGTCGATTTTCTTGAACGTAGTTAAACGAAATTCTGAAAATGGTGTAAGCTAGAAGAGCAATACTGAAAATTGGAAGAATAAGTATTGGATTAAAATGAGATGACCTATGTCTTCCAAATTTCATAATAAAAAAAACTCAGAAAAAAAGAAAATAAAGAAATTTTACAAAGCCAACGTTCTTTGATCTGCCGGATTAATAAAAGACATCCCATGAACATATTTTGTTGTTTAAAGCAGAAATAAACTGTTAACTTTTCAATCTCATGATCGCTGCATAATGAAGAGGAGTTTTTCCATCTCATAAGTGACCGGCTGAAATTTTTAATATTGCCAAGTAACGCTTGTTTGATGATATATGTCTCTCTGTTAATGGCCCTATGGCTGCTAAATAATCAATAATGCAAAACTTCAAATTTGGAAGATCTTCCTATAAGATCTTCTAAATTAGCAACTCTACTGACTACATTTTAGATTGCAATGCTTGAATTTTGATTTCAGAAATGGATGGTTGATGAAAAGTGAAATCATAAATTTTTCGATAATTTTGGATAACATTCAATGGATAAGTTTGTCTTATTGGTTGATGTAAGATTGAATAAATTCGGTTTTTATCGTTTGTAAACTCTTGAAAAAACAAACTTTTATAATGTCCGGAAGTGAGGATAATAGTAAGGAATACGATCGTCGTTCCGATGACGAAGAAGTATCAAAAGAAGAGAAAAATGATTCAGAATCCAAGAGTAGCACTGTTACAATTCATGTTGGCAATCTTTCTTTTGATACAACAGAAGAGTCTCTCAAGGCCAAATTCGCAGAATTTGGCAATGTCGTAACATGCAGAATTCCACGCAGGACAAGGACTGGTAAGTCAAAAAGTTTTGGCTTCGTTGAATTCTCAACAAAGGAAGATGCTGATAAAGCTATCAAAGAGATGAATGAGAAGGAGTTCGAAGGACGTACACTTAAAATTGAGATCTCAAATGGCCTCAGTGATAAGCCTCGTCGTGGAGATCGCCGCAATGAAGGACGTAGAGACCGCCGCCGCTATGATGATTACGACCGCAGAGATCGCCGTCACGATGACCGCAGAAGCCGTCGCCATGAATATGATGATTACGATCGCAGAGAACGCCGCCATCATGATTACGACGATTATGATCGCAGAGACCGCCGCCGCGATTACGATGATGACCGCAGAGAACGCCGCCGTCGCGACTATGACGATGACCGCAGGGACCGCTACTAAATTTTAGCAAGTTGTATTCTTTTACCTACCAATTGATTAAATAGTAAAACATAGCTCAATTTGATCCATAAAGGGCTGACTCGTGCTTATTCCTGTAATTATCCACTGGTAATTCGTTATTCCACTTTAAAGTCCGTTTAACCGGTTTTCAAGTGCAAAAACTATCACGTCTTACGTTTCAATTAGCAATAGTTTGATTGTTGCACGAATATATTCCAGTACTATGCATTTTCAGCAAAATAATGCTATTTTTTTATTAATATACTTTTCATTTGTTATGTGTCATAAACAATATAGTATAGATATAGTTATATAGTAAGAAATGACCCTATTGATCATTACATTTGGTAAATTAGATTTTTTTGTTTTTATATCAAGAATTGTTGCCACTCTTACCAAATGTGGTTTCAAACCAAGTGTGTAAGTATTGTTCCTCACAGGTGAATCGTATAATATCTTTATTGACAATTGATTTAAATTGATTGTTACATTTCCTTCTTAAGATGACCGTTTCTATGTTTGGATCAAAATAGTTGCTGTCATATAAGATTACATCCGAATGATTAAATATAAGATTCCCGATTCGAAAGCTTTCATTTCCAATCAATCATTCAATATGCCCTGCTATTTCATATACAAATAAATGCATTTATATATGTAATATACCTCAAAAATTGAAAATGAAATTTCAATTCAGTCAAATTGCTTTAGTATTGTAATTTAATATATATATAAAATGGCATTCAAAAAAATTGAATGATTGAATATACATTTTTTGTATTAAATCAGGAGAGTATTTAAGATTTTATTAAATTAGTTTGTATGTGTAATTTCACGATAATATGGAGCTCTAATTGGATCAAGCTGAACAAGCTTGTCTGTAATTTTAGCGATCTTTTCTTGATCAACTTCTTTCATTTTCTGGAGAACCCAAATTTGAGCCAATAAAACGTATTTTGCATTTGGTTCCATCTCCTGGAGCTCCTCGATGCTAGATTCGAGCTGTTCAAGAGTTTCTGCATCGTTGTAAATTTCTTCGTGATTAAGTAGCCAACGGAGGTAAATCCAGGCGCTCTGGTCATTGGCATCCATGTAAATGCATGTCTGAACAATATCGAGCTCTGCTTTGAAATCAGTAAGGTTAGGAAGCTGAGAACGGTAATGCCAAGCACTATAATTGCTGAAATCCTTTTGGATGAAGTCGTATGAGTTCTGCAACTCCTCCTCGTACTTGTTGCCCATTCTCTTGACAGCCCAACGTCTATGACGCCATGCATGGAAGTTTCTGAAATCAGCATTAAGAAGAAGGGTGCAGAGTTGAATTTCGTGATCGAGTTCGGTAATATTCATGTATTCAAAGCACCAGCGTCTATGATGGAAGGCCCAATATGATTTTGGATTTGATCTGATAACATTTTCAGAAATTTCGAGCTCAATATCTAACTGTTCTTTTGTTGCATGTTCTTTGAAGTATTTCTTTCTCATATTCCAGCAAGTGGCGAAATCATCTAAGCGCGTTAAAATAGGTGTTTTTGATTCTACCACTTCGTTGATTTTTTCTGGATGAGCTTGTGCGTCCATGACCTTTTCATACTCCTCACGAATATAAGCAATGGCCTTCTTTTGCTCAAGCTTCTTTGCTTCATCAAGAGGAACCTTCTTCCTTCCGTGCATCTTTGTCACTTTTTTGAACAAAAAAATCCCACATTAGAAAAGAATATCGATATTCTTAATGCATGCCCATTTATTGTAAGGGTTTCGTTTTGCTAAAATTGTCACTTTTATAGCATATTTGTTTTTGGATGTTTTGCGAAACCAAAAAAAAAACTATGATATACAATGTGTGTGTAAAGAAAATACTTTATTTACTAGTTAAAAAATCATTTGGTATTGATCAAGTTATTTTTTCTGGATAAGATATTATATGGATAATTGGATAGAAAATACAATTATATAATCTTGTACCTGGTTTAATTAAGCTAATTGTCATCAGAAACTTGTAATTTTTATGAACTTCAGATTTTCTTTTCATTACTGCTTTTCTTAATAGGTCAAGTTCTTATTTACGTTATAAAGTATGATATTTACAAATATCAAGTTATCATGTTTTTTGAGAAATTATGAGAAACAAACAAAAATGAAAAAGATAGGAATAGCAATGAATAGTGATGTGGGTATAGAAAATGTAAGAGATATGAATGCAAAGCAATCAGTATTTAGGATATTGACCATAGATTTCGAAAAAAAATGCTGCATATTGAGCGAAAACTATGATTATATTATAAGGCTGTCATTTAAAGCATAATGAAACTATTCCCTTTTCATTTTAATCGAATAAGATAGTAAAGATTTTTGAATTAGCTAGAAACTGATGAGATGTTTTCACAAATCAGATTTTTAATCTCTATAATGCATAATTCACTCAATATCTCAATTTTGATATTGCAAGATATTTTTGCTATCGGTTTCGCAATTTTGACACAATAGCAAGAGGGTTCTATTGTAATAAACAGAAATTCATCAAAAGTGACAGCTCTCAATTTTTTGACATTTGTAAATTCTAAATTGAATGAGAAAAATGAAATAATACTAAGCATAATACAATATTCTAGATTTAATTATAATTAGGAAAAAGTTAGTTTTGAGAGTACTTTTCATAGGCATATAGAATGAAATCTTCTGAAAAATAATATCACATAAACTCATATTATTTTCTAATATATAACTATTTTATATAAAAATCAAATTCAATGATCTTAAAAGCGAAGGATAAACCTCAAAATTTACGAATATAATGAGTGGGAATATAATGCTTATCTATCATAAAACCATATGAAAATATCAATTTTTGCTTTACGCCTAATTTTTGACGACAATTAGCAAAAAATGTTAAATGTTAACACTCAGTCCATTTGAATATGAAAAATAAAATTGACTTTGATTAAATGTTTTTATTTATCATGCAATTCTTCTTGCGACCAAAGATTTGAATAAAAGTTCAAAAAATAAGATAGCTTAAAAATAATATACGGTAGTGTTTACTAATAGATGAATAGTATATAAATTCTATTAAAATGGATTTGATCCAAAAAAATATAAAACCAAAAAAATTGTTATAATTTAAATGAAGAAGTAATTTAAAACGATTTTATTTATGATCAAATTTTATATATTTTTTTGGATCAAATCCATTTTAATAGAATTTATATACTATTCATCTATTAGTAAACACTACCGTATATTATTTTTTAAGCTATCTTATTTTTGAAGTTTTATTCAAATCTTTGGTCGCAAGAAGAATTGCATGATAAATAAAAACATTTAATCAAAGTCAATTTTATTTTTCATATTCAAATGGACTGAGTGTTAACATTTAACATTTTTTGCTAATTGTCGTCAAAAATTAGGCGTAAAGCAAAAATTGATATTTTCATATGGTTTTATGATAGATAAGCATTATATTCCCACTCATTATATTCGTAAATTTTGAGGTTTATCCTTCGCTTTTAAGATCATTGAATTTGATTTTTATATAAAATAGTTATATATTAGAAAATAATATGAGTTTATGTGATATTATTTTTCAGAAGATTTTGTGTTCTTCTTCAAAATTTTTTTATTAAAAAGAATCTTTACAAAATATACATTTACTTTAATTAATATTTAAAAACGTGCTCTATCAAAAGTTCCAAAAATTCAATATTTTAGCTTTTCTGAGGTGTCACTTTTGATGAATTTCTGTTTACAACACTATAAGCATTATTATCAACGTAGAATCTGAATATCATATCAGAAAATGTCGCAAATCTGACATTTACCCGACCAAATAGCAAAAATAATTGAATACTTTTCGCAAAAACTTTAAAAATCGATAAAAATATGAAATATAGATATTAAAGAGACTTTTTATATAATATTCATAAAGATTTTCCAAAAATATGATACCGCAAAATTAAAAAAGTGACGTCTTGAGTGGAGTCAAAGGTCGAAATTGCTAGCTAAATGTTTTTTTTAGCGAAATTGCGTATTGTACGTTTTTTTCGCAAAACGAAACCCTTATTTATTGTAATTACAAAGGTGAAACACCAACAAACACAAGACACCCACGGCTCTGACTAATATGATTGCAATTTAGAATTAATTATTGTTAGGAAATCAGGTTAAACTAGAAATATTGACACAGTATTCCATAGAGAACTGCTACATACGGTTGTCAGGCAAGTGTACGAGTTTATGCTGTTGGATCATTAAAAACATTCTTATTTCTAATGAAATTTATATTCAAAAAAGTTAAAAGACGAAAGAAAAGCATCTTATCTAGAAACACTATACATTTGCCCCATTTAGGATAAGAATTTCCGCTTTTCTTTACATACTGCAATATAAAAAGCAGTTACTCCACATTTATCTTTTATATTGATATTTCACCAAGTGAAGAGCTATTTAATACCATTAATATTTGCACCATATGTAAGAAGAAGTTTTCCTCGCCAATACTATTAGAATTTTACCTTAGAAAATTGGAACATAAAGCTAGATGTTTCAAAAAAATTGAGAGATATTTAATAATAAATAGACATTTAAAAAAAAATCGAGCAAATATATTAGCTACAAAATATATCTAATAATGTAACAAACAACACTATATGATTAGTTATTATAGAGCATTAGCTAAATCTTCATCTTTTGCATCAGTTCTCAAAGGCAACAGTTTCTTTGCGAGATCGATTGATTTCGGTGTCATTTGGAGATCTTTCTTAACCATTTGTATTCTGTCTGCTGGTGTGCACATTATTTTCGCAGCAATGTCAAGGTCTTCGAACTTGATATTGACGAAATCTAAGTTGAATTTGATGAAAGCATTTCTGTATTCATTCAAATCCATTGATAATTGCATTGTTCCTTCAGGGAAATCATAACGAACTTCAAACAAAGCATTGCAAATTGTGTCAATGAGTTCCTTTGCCAAAACAGAACAGAAAGAGATATTGTTATCTCCTGACAATGCTGTTGCTTCTTGAATTACTGAATTTGGTCCAGTAAGTATCTGGCAAATTTCTTTGCAAGATTGAGAAACAGATCCATCAACATTCTGTTGAAGAAATGAGTTCTTGAAGTTCTTCGTAGCGACAATGGATTTGACTCTATCTGTGATGATGTTGATGCAGATTTGAAGATTTTTCGTGATTCCATCTTCTAATGAGGAAATTAAGCTTTCTCTGTCGCGTAGGAACATCTCATGGTACTGTGGTTTCTGCATCAAATGCGGTTTAAGGATTTGGCTGTATTTGGCTTCAATTGTAAGGATTGACATGTTAATAACAGATGTAATTGCCAAAAACCTTGGAACTGTGTTGATATCGTTCTCTTTCATCATACAGATCCTGCAAGCTTCTAAGTATGTGATCAAATACTCTCTTAAATTGGCTTGGATGACAAGATCAATCAATGATTTGAGAACTTGGTGTTTTCTCTGCGGATCGCAAAGTACAACGCATCTTTCCCATGCAGCAGCACCATTGGTGAGGATGGTGATCGGCATTTGTGGGTTAAATTCGGAAAAGATATCATATGATACTTCTTCTTTACGAGTTAACCACTTCTTTGCGTTCTCAATGATCTGTCTGAGCTTCTTAAGGTGTGGAACGACTTGTTCAAGCATGATATTCGTCAGAGCTTGAGTTTCCAAAGTTTCATAACTTGTTTGGAAGTTATGGAAGGTATTTTCCATGATGTTCTGGTTGGAAAACGTTTGTCCGTCAAGGGCCCAAATTGATTTAAGCATTTCATCGGTTTCATTATGTAATTTGTAGAACATATCACAAAATCTGTTTTGTTTTGAAGGAGTTTCAAGATAATGATTCAATACTCTTGATATAAATGCATCAAAGACCGTGTTAAATACTGTTGTAACTAAAACAGTCTTTGGTTGTTGGCTTCCAGTGAAAATGACATCAATTAAGTCCCAGGATTTCTTGCAATCAGTGACAAAGAAGCTGCAAAGTCCCTTGTAGTGGTCAAGAAGGATGCTTTCGTCTTCAAATAAGTATTTTTCTTTGAAATGATACTTTTTGCCGGCATCAGTCATGATTGGTGTAGATTTGATGAAAGCTTCCATAGCCTCGTATTCGTGTGATAGCAATCCTAGTGCTGATGCGCATTTTGCTTGTTCATATTTATTGATTTTGCTATTTGCAACGAATTGCTCAAGGAGTTGATCTTTAAGACGCTCTCTGTATTGAATCAGATTTATGCGAGCATTCTGTAAGTAATCTCTTTCAGCAGAAGTAACAATTTTGAATAATTTAGCGCAAAGCTCCGCACATTGATACAAAGTAGGTGGGAATTTAATTGATTTAAGTAAAATGTCAAGAGGATCAAAGGCAGGAACTAATACTTCTTGAGGCGGATTGTCAGGATTATTTGGATCAGGAGGTGGCTGGTTTGGAGCTCTGACCATGGGAGGATCTTCTAGTGGCTTATTGAATTCTTGGATGTAGGTAATGATAATTGACATATCTTCGGCTCTTTGAACTAATGACGCTGCAAAATCAAGCTGATCTGTAACTTTTGAAAAATCGACGGAGATTTGATTGGTTGAGGCATATAGTTCATTAGATCTATCCTTAGTTTCTTGTAAATTTTTGGTAATTTTTGCTAAATTTGCAACAAAATCTTCTCTTTTTGATGTTGCTTCATTTGCATAATGCTTTAAATCTAAAATATTGCTTTCACGTAACTTTAATAAGTCCATTTGGTCTGCTTTGAGATTTTTTTCAATATCTGAAATCATAAATTCGGTGACCGGTATCTTTTTAGAGTCTCTTTCTCTAACAGCACTCATGTACTTACCTGCGGTAATAGAGTCTAAGTAATAAACAGAACTTTCTTTAGTTTTCATCAATGTCACTTTTTATGCAGAATTTCTCTAAACTTTGGGGTCGTATGATACAATGCATTTTCTTTATATTTTCAAATTATAAAAAAATAAAAAGTGACACCTATCAAATAATTTTATCGAAAAGTATGGATTTCTTTAAGGTTATTTTTGAAAGCGCTCTTTGGTGCTTCATTGCCTGATCTATTTATTTTTATTCAACAAAAATAGTTCAATTCAGTTTTAAACATCTAAGCAAAGCATTGTCAGTATTTCTTTTGAAAATATTTTTTGGAATGGCAACTCAAATTGCGATTTAAAAAATTTATATGTTATTTTGTATCCACAAACTAAGACATCACGTAAAATCATCATAAATTAGATAATATGTACGAAAATATGTACCTACGATTCACTTTTTAAATTCTTAAAAACCATTGACAGAAAATCTTTAAAACATAATCATTTCAAATACACTGCAAGTAATCTTAGCCATATCTTAATTAATATAACAAAAATCATAAGATTAATCCTAAGAATAATCTTATATGGAATCCATTGGCAGTTACAAAAGGAGCATTGATTTAGAAAAATAAAGTTTATTAAAATTAATCATTCTTTATTTTCTTGTTTAAAATAATAGTTTGATTTTTTTAAATGGTGATTTTATTAGTTTCCATAACTCTGAGAAGATAATTTCGGCTGGAGGATCTCCCAAATTGAAAGGAGGGTGATAGTACTTTCGAAGAACTTCATTAGGTCCATCTCTGGATAAGAGTGATATCGTATGAAAACACTCATATTTAAAATCGACGTTATCGAAAGTATAAAACATTCGATCACCAAAACGAATTTCATCGGCTTTCTTGAAAAAAAAATTCAAACAGGAGCGAGGATCTAAAAGATGAAAGTCGAGACTATCAGGTTTCTCAAAAAAATATGGAGTATATTTTTGAATCTGAATGTTGTATTTCTGAATGCAATTTAGAATATCATTTGTTGTTAAAATATCAAGCATTTCTGTAAATGAATCAACATTTTCAATTTTAATATGAAAAGAAGCGCGCCCAATGACAACAAAACCTGGATTATACTGAACAAAAACCCACAAAACTGCATTTGTTGGTGAATCCAAATCTTCTGCCAAGAAAAAGGGAACTTGTTCTCTAACATAAACATCTTTGTGGCGTGCTTTAAATAAATCTATTTGAAAAATGTCTGAAAAATTTGGGGGATTTGACATCATGTAGCTATATAGATAGTTGAATATCTCCGTATTAGTTAAGAATCTGGAATCAGTCCAGAACAAAGAGTTTATTACATTATTTAAAACCATTAAACTCTGTCACTTTTTAAAATTTTGATTGTAATTTTATCAAAATTTAGGGATCATTGCAACGATAGATAAACTTTATGACATCTTTTGTTCGTGTTCATTCCATACCTAAATTGTCACTGAATTATTATAAGAATTCTGTCACTTTTTAAAATTTTACTCAATCAATTCAAAACCAAGAAATTTTGATTAATATTGATATTGATTCAAAAATATAGTTGAATTTGAATTAAAAAATAATTAAACATATTTTCCTTCGAAAAGTCTCCCTATCGTTTTTCTAAAATTTTGAACAAGAGACTTTACGAAGGAAAAGGAGTTTATGACTTGAGGAATTGCATTTTTTGGTAATGCATTTCATGTTGCCGTATCATTAATAAACTTTAACAGATTTTCATTACTAAGATTTCGAGATACAACATACAATTCTCAAATTCTATTGCTTCAATACAAATTGTTACATTAAAACATGGTGTATATTATTAATATATCTTCTTAACATATTTTCCCATAATATCTTAATAAATAAGGTCGTCAAACAATTGTGCGTTTTTAAAAAGCCAACGTTTGAGAGGAAAATTGAGTACTTTCTGACATAAAAACCCACAATGCCAAAAACTTTGAAAGATCAAAAAAATACTAGTGTCAGAATGTTTACAAATGTAAACTTTCTGATAAACAAAGTCTCAGATAGTACTCAAGTAACGGTTATTAATTTCCACACTTTTTTTGTCAATCATATAACAAAAATCATAATTTAGTGCTTCTTCTATATCAATGAATCACATATGGAATCCATTGGCAGTTACAAAAGGAGCATTGATTTAGAAAAATAAAGTTTATTAAAATTAATCATTCTTTATTTTCTTGTTTAAAATAATAGTTTGATTTTTTTAAATGGTGATTTTATTAGTTTCCATAACTCTGAGAAGATAATTTCGGCTGGAGGATCTCCCAAATTGAAAGGAGGGTGATAGTACTTTCGAAGAACTTCATTAGGTCCATCTCTGGATAAGAGTGATATCGTATGAAAACACTCATATTTAAAATCGACGTTATCGAAAGTATAAAACATTCGATCACCAAAACGAATTTCATCGGCTTTCTTGAAAAAAAAATTCAAACAGGAGCGAGGATCTAAAAGATGAAAGTCGAGACTATCAGGTTTCTCAAAAAAATATGGAGTATATTTTTGAATCTGAATGTTGTATTTCTGAATGCAATTTAGAATATCATTTGTTGTTAAAATATCAAGCATTTCTGTAAATGAATCAACATTTTCGATTTTAATATGAAAAGAAGCGCGCCCAATGACAAAACAACCTGGGTTATATTGAACAAAAAACCACAAAACTGCATTTGTTGGCGAATCCAAATCTTCTGCCAGGAAAATAGGAACTTCTTCTCCAATATAGACGACTTTTTGACGTTCTTCGAATAAATTTAATTGAAAAAATTCTGAAAAATTCGGCGGATTCGACAACATGTAGCTATATAGATAGCAGAATATCTCCGTATTAGTTAAGAATCTGGAATCAGTCCAGAACAAAGAGAAAGGCGTATTATTTAAACCCATTAAAATCTGTCACTTTTTAAAATTTTGATTGTAAACTTATCAAAATTTAGGGATCATTGCAACGATAGGTAAACTTAATGACATCTTTTGTTCATGTTCATTTCATACCTAAATTGGTACTGAATTGTTCTAAGAATTCCTCACAAAATAACTTTAATTAAATTTGATTCCAAATATTTTGAAGATCTAAAAAATCAAAATTTTCTTGTTGAATTTAACTCATATTCCTTAGTTAAGTCTTTTATACAATTTTTAAAGTCTTTTCTATGAAGAAGTACGATGAGGAGGCTTTGCTTTGGAAAATGAGTTTATGTTTTGTATTGAATATATTCATATTTTGCATTTGCCGCTCATCTCTTGTTTATTTGAATGTTTATAGCATAAAGCAATATTGATTAAACTTATAAATATAAGCTTTGTTCGGAATTGAAATAGTTTAACAAATATCAGATGTTTTTCCTTCAAACTATATGACATTATAATATTTGTAAACTGCTAAACTGATTAATTGATATTTTTAGCAAAATTAAAATAATATTTTTACCATATATTAATAAACTTATGTCCGATATAACGACTTTTATTAAAATAAAATAGATAACTGTTTTATGGGTACTTAGGTAAGTGTTTGATATAGATATGGTCAAGGGAGTGTACATCCTGGAATGGAGGACGGTTGCGCTCGATTCTCTCTGACTCTGGACGAGCTTTGTAAGTATTGATCATCAATGGGAACTTCTGATCTGATTTCTGTCCGAATTGTGATGTTGGAGCATACATCTGTACAACGGAAGCAGCATTTTGGATCCAGCCGTTGAAGTTTGGTGCTGACCAAATAGTAATGCATTTTCCATTCAATGAAGTAGTATTGCCATTCATGCAAAGTTGTTTTGATCTAATCATGCAAGTAAGGCCGTTCAGCTTGAAGAAATTCTCGAGAACATCCTCACCGAAGTATACTCCATGGTGGCCTTCGATCGGCTTCGTTCCTGACATGCCTTCCTTCGGAATGGACCAAACAAGAGAAGACCAGTAGTCGCTAAGAGGTACTTCCACGAAACGGTTAAATTCGTTGATCTGGTTGAGCTTAGTAATTATTCCATCAATGCCACCGGAAAGGCAGATATATTGATATGAAACTTGGGCTGCGAGCGGAAGTGAATCGAAAGCATCCATGAGATATTCCCATGCTCTAGCTGAGCCGTATGCGTTAATTATTTCTTCGTATAGGCCACAAACTAAAGTAAGGCGACGAGATTCATGTGCTCCTCTAAGAAGATAGACATGGTCTGGGTACTTGAGGGCAAGAGAAAATAGGAGAGAAACGGTGGCAATATTTCTATCGCCGTAATTAACGAAATCGCCTAAGAAAAGATAGCTTGTGTACGGAACAGCACCGCAAACATCAAACATTTCGTGAATATCGTCGAGTTGGGCATGAATACTGCCGACAACTGTCATTGGTTGTGTAATTTGTAAGAGATTAGGGTGTGTTGAATAAATTCTTTGAAATTGTTGGCAAAGCTGCACGAACTCCTCCTCATTAGGTTCAATAGGTGGGAGGGCCATTGCGTTCTGCAAGAATTGATTGATGTTGAATTCGGTCTCCGGTTGTGCTGCGCTCATTAACAATTAAAAAAACCGTTGTCAAAACAGCTTTTGATAAAAAATGAAATGAAGCAAATCACAATAATCCGATTCAATATAAAAGAATAAATATAGGGATATCATAGTCCATTTTTACGTATTTCATAGTTCAATTTTTACTTATCAAATTTCATTCTGCATCCGAAAAGTCAAAATTCAAGTAAGGATTCCTACCAAATATATTTGTTAGTTCCCTCATATCTTCTTTGTGTATCACAATGAAGTATTTGCGCTAAAAACGATTCGGATTTGAGATAAATATTTGTTAAAATGCCTTTTCAGAGATAATAATGTGATGAACAACAGACTCTATCTAATGTATATGGCGAGGTGATATGTTATGATCTTATTCAAGTATTTTTATGTGAGAATCAATTTTTTATCATCATGTATATCCTATTTGGATACTCAATATTATGAACAGCTGAGAACCCTAAAAGGAATATAATTGAAATACTAGATGATATAGAAAAATTAAATTAAAAAATGATACAGGAACGGAACTTTTTAAAAGTTTGTGCATTATATATGAAAAGGAAACTTAACAAGAATAAGTGACTGTGAAATGCATTATTTGAGCAATTATTTGGTGAAATTCAAAGTACAAATCAATACTTAAAGCGCTCGGTTAATCATAAAATAACGTCATTATAATGTTGCTTTCATATCTGTAGTTGTTTTTTTTTGTATATATATAATATAAAAAAAAATCTTGATTCCATTCTCAAAAGATGCATCTCACTTGCATATATTCACTGATGTATCTAAAGTTTATAAGTCAATTAAAAAGTATTTACTGAAATAAAATGAGAAATTAATTGGCCTTTTTTTCTGCTCTAAAAGATAATTCATTCTTCCTAGCAACAAATTCAGGCAATGGATTTACTAAGTTGAGTTTCTCCATTATTTGTTCAATATGGAAATGATTATTGATCAATTGTTCAACCTGATCAAGAATTCCTGCCTGGAACAATTTCTCGAACTCAAGCTTCTGTTCTTTATCAAGCGTTGCTGCTTCTGTTAAGACGAAGTTTTTAATAAAAGCAGCATTATTTCTACTTTCTGGTTTTGTTGCGATGCAGCTCAATACAAGTGACTTTAATTTATATTCGTAATTATATAACTCTTTGATCCTATCCTCGTTTTGCATTATTTTCTCAATTTCAGATTCTCGATTAATTTGTAACTTTTTCAGGAGTATATAGATATTATCTTTCAAATAATTGATGATATCTGCATCATATAAGTCATTCGGACTGAGGTCTTGGAAATCTTCAAAATCTTCTGGGTATCTCTCAACAAAGGCAATGATTTCCTCAACATCCTTTTCCGTTTCTTTAAGAGGTTTGTCGAGATTTTGTGCAATATGATCGACATTTGCCAAAACGCTTTGAACTTGATCTAATTCAATTTCGCAGGATTTAATTACGGCTTGAGCTGCTTAGTTCGGCTCATTTCCTGTCATTATATAATATATCACACCACCAAGTGCGAAAATATCGGAAGCTGGCGTGTAATCGAGAGATTTAATAACTTCAAGAGAATGATAAAGACCTGTTCCATGGCGCTTAGAAGTCATCATTGGATTGTCTGTTTTTTGAACATCATCGTAATCGATGATGTGAGGGTAATGTTTTGTATCAATTCGAATATTCTTTGGACAAATATCTCTGTGAATAATTTTGTTTTTGTGAAGAGTCTCCAATTGATCGGCAATAAAATAAATCCATACTAATTTTTCGGCATCTGAAGCTTTGTTTTTTTCCAAATAATAGTATAAATCGTCTCCTTTAATGAGCCTAAAATCAGCGTAAAGGCTACCATCATCATTCTTATGAATATCAATGAGTTCCTGGAGGAAAATGTTCTCTTTTTGAAGTTTTGCAGTTTCTAGAATTTTATTGATTACGCCTTTCCTATTATTTGCCACGAAACTTGAATTTGAATATATTTTACGAAGTATTCCTTCATTTTCAAAAACTTCAATTTCAGCATTATTTCCTGCATGATAAGTATCGCTCATTTTTATTTTTGTTTTTTTTTTTTGACTAGACTAAATTAATTCATTTCTTAATTTTTTGACTGCTTGTGATATGATTGCAATCTATTTTTATACCAGTTGAATAAATTATTTGTTGACAGAATTCAATTTTCCAAAGTCAACAATCATAATTTCTTTGCCAAAGAACTTTTCTATTGAAACATCAGATTGTCTTTGTCTTACTACACAAATTGAACTATATTGAATTTCACGCAAAATCTATCAAGAACAATACGATTTCAATGAAATCATGGTGAATTGTATAAAAGATCAAGATTTACAGGTGTAACATTGAGACAACTGAACTATATCGTTCCTAAGCTAATGTTTAGAATGAACCCTTTGATCAATTTCCCTTTTCTTGTTAATGTGGCCAAAATATTTAGAATTGGAATCATATTTTTCATTGAGAATAATGAGATTTATAAACATCTCTTGTTTGACAAGTGTTTGGAATGGAAAATTCTCATTTCCTTGTCTGAGAAGTTTAGTGTTTCTATCAAGCACAACTTTTTGAGAAGTTATTTAATCAAACCTCATAGTTGGAGATGAATTCTTCTGTTTTCGTGCTTCATTTGGGAAAATTATTACAAGACTGTAATGTGAGCGCATTTGAGTTTTATGGATTTAGAGGTTATTTAAATAAATTGATATATTGCAGTAGTATGTTATAACTATTCGATTTTTAGTAAATTATACAAACATATAAAATAAAATCAGATTCTACAATACTTTTTGAAATAAGTCCAGGTGTTTGAATATATATAATATATACACGTTCATTTCTATTGGGGCGGAGAAATGAATGAAAAGTAAAATTTTTCAAAAAGTATAAGCATATCTAAAATCTTATGCAAAACACCGAATTGAAAATATAAACATTGTATATGTATCTCTATAATGATATGAAAATTACATATAATTATACAATGTTAAAATCCTTGTTGTCTCAAATTTTGTTGATCAATTGTCTCTGCTTCAGTCACTTGTGCTGGGTCTTGTGGTGGAGGTGCTTCTGTTGTTGAAACTTCTTCTCCATCTCTAATTAGAGTCTCTTGTGGAGATTCATTCGGTTCTTCTGGATCCATTGGTTTGGCTTCATAAAGTGGTTGGAATTCCTGAACGTCAGGTATGCCTAATCTCTCCTTGCATTGTAATAAAATGATATCTTTTTGCCACATAACAAAAAGTAATGTTTGGACAGAACTTTTACCGAGTTCTTCTGTAGCCTTTTCGAATTCATCTACAATATCTGGCATTGGATAGCGTTTTTCATTTCCATTTGATTCTTCAACGAGTTTGCACTGTGGAGCTTCAGGAGGTTTTCCACTTTTATCTTTTGGATCTGGTGCTGGAGGGAAAAATCGTGTGTAAATTTGGTTTAAGATATCTAAAAATCTATCGCGATTAATAATGCCTCTTCTGAGAGTATCTTCAGTTTTGAATAATGTAAGAAGTTCGTGTAAGAAGTATGGGTATATAATGCAGCATGGAAATGCAAGTAAAAAATTTCCAAATGGAATTCTATGAGACATAATAGTTCCTGATGATATTGATGGGTCAACGCATTCGCATACGAATACGATGAAATTGTATGGTACATCTGCGCATACTAATGAAATAATTGAGTAAAAATCATCGCAATTAAGTTTCGTTTCTGAAGGAAACTGTTCAAAAGCTCTTAATATGTCGTGAGTAAACTTTATTTTTGTTTCTATTGATTTAAATATCATTGGAAATGTCCAATCAAAAACATCGTGAGGTTCTTCCATAAAAATATAAATAACGTAATTATAAGGAAAACAAAATGAGTTGCATTAGAGGTATAAAGGCATATTTCAACATTGTGAACATATAAATTAGATAATTACAGATGGGTAGAATTTAGGTACATATGAAAATGAACTTGATAATTCATAACATGGCAAGAATTGATACATTTTATTTAATTACAATATTTATTATAAATATATGATAAGAAGCTTTCAACAATAGAAAATATTAGAGTTGAATAACTTATTTTGGTTAATATGAACACATTAATAATAAATGCCCTTCATTTGTGTTCTTTTTATATCCACCTCATTTTAAAAAGAATTGAAGATGTGTGGTATGCATATATGATCATCTCCATATCATAATATTCCTAGAACTGAAATTTGAAAAGTTATGATTTCAAATAATCTAATTAGAGTGATATTTTTAAATTATTATATGTAAAATATTTTTATTGGATTTTATTTAATAATTTGGCTGATATAGAAAATTAATATCTAAACTGTACTCGTTTAAAATGACGATTTTCAAAAAAATTGATTAAATAATTTTTGAAAAAAAAATTATACATCGATTATCTGGATGTTATTCCATATTTAATATTAAATTTCAACTTTAGAGTAAAAAATATCGTGCATAGAGCTCCACCTGGTATATTATGTCAATTATTGATTATTCATCTAGTGGATTTTCCAAAATATTTAAAACTAGATTTTAATATATCATCGAGAAGCTTTCTATTTCATCCCACATTGTGAGAGTTTTTCTCAGTTGCTAAAAAAAAGGATTCAATAAGCTTAATTTGCTAAATTTATTGACAAAATTTATTTTATTTGATAATATATAAAGTTCATCAAAAATTTTTAAATGTATGTTCAGTGGCAAGCAAGTTAATCAATACTATGCGCAGTTAATAAGCAATCGCATACTTAATATCCAGAATAGTATTTTTTATTTGGTTGTTAAGCTCTTATGAGCTACAATGTATTTCAGTTCTCAATTTTCCGTAAAGAATTCAATGCTTTGTGCACTTATTTAAAATTTATTAAGAAAGGATCGATCATTTTAAAGTGAATCAGCAAAAATATGTCTTTCTGTTCGAATTCATGCATTAGCCTTCTCCTTATCTATGCCAAAAACAAATAAATTTTGTGGCAGAGATTTCATTAGTACATGCATTAAGCAAAAAGTGACAAGAATTCTCCCAAATGCCAAGAAAAAACACATATTTATGACATGATTAACTCAAGCTCAGGTTCTTTGTAGACATTATTACTGAATTTTATTAAAACTCTATCCTAAAATTGAAAGGTTCTTTCTAAATTGCACATTTTTTTATGGCATTCATCAAATAATGTAAAAAATTACTGACAAATATAAATGCTATAAAATTTGGATATCAAATATCACATCCACATCATTGGTTATCATATGAATTTTTGATCTAAATTCTGTTCAAAAAGTGACATTCAGGTCATCTTTCTGACAAACCGCCGGATTTCTAAACAAGAATGGAGCTTGTATCACGTAATAACCCTTGCGGATGGTCTCTTGTTACGCTTGTTTCAAGAGGCAGCTCTATCATTGCAGAAATTCAACGCCTCAGTCAATATATTCCTGAGGATTTTACTTTCCCGAAAAATCAACTTAATCATCCTTACGCAAAAATCATTTACGACTTTTCCTATTTTGGACACGAAACAGAAATAGAAAATCTTATCGAGAGTGATCCAGATCTTAATGAATTAAATGAAGAATGCAGAGAAACTCATATCGAAATTGTTACACGCTTTTGCCGTCTTTTTGAGTCAATTGTTCGTTACGCTCTTGACTTCCTCCATTACCTCGAGCAGTTAAATCAGCACGTCTTCCTTCAAATCACTGTAGAATCCTTGTTAAATGAGACACAAGGCAAACAGCTTCTCGGCGAAGCCCTCTACTACTACGGTGTCATGCTCCTTCAGATGGACTATTATATTCCAGGTTTAGTCCGCGAAAGGCTTCTCGTCACATTTAACAGATGGAGAGGCTCATCCATGCTTCTTAACTACTCCAAAGTCTGCGAGGTCTGCAGACAAAGCGGCTACGTTGTTGGCCAGCCATATCCAATGGGTTATCCCCTCGAATTCGTCAATAGACTTGAAATCCCTGTTGACTTCGTCAATGTATTGATTGGAAAATACCGTAACGACGACTGCTACCTCATGTTGCAGAACTACCCAGAAGCTGAGCACAGATCCGTCGCATTAGCTCAACAAGCTTCAATGTTGTTCATCTTCTTATTCTTCTCTCCAAACACTCTCAACAACGAAAACTTCATCATGCGCGAAATTGTCGATAAATTCTTCTTCGATAACTGGATTATTCCTTACTTTATGGGAGATGTTGTCGATCTTTCAGTTATCTGGAAAGACTTCAAGGCCGCAAACATCGCCATCCAAAACACAATGAAACAGAACAGCATGAGATACGCACAGCGCTACATGGAATTATACGAACCAATTCATACGAAGATCAAACAAGTTCTTTCGGATGGCTTCACCAAGACAGAACAGCTACTCGACGGCATCAACGATTTCTTCAAACTCGATAGAGATGCCAACGTTTGCATCAGATTTTTGTTATTACATACACAGGAACCCGGCAAGAAGGTCCAATTCCCATTCAGCAGGGACAAACTCCTCGCGTTCCTCCTTGATCTTGGTGAATTCGAGTTCGAATTGAAGAATGCCATCGAAACAGCCCTGAATACTAAGCCAGAAATCTGGACCGACACGAGGAACAACGCCGTCTCCATCCTTAAGCAGCTTGCTTTGTCCTTCTCCGGTACATTATCCCTTGCTTCCCTCCAAAAGGACGAAAAGCTCCAGCAGTGGTTCGAAAACATGGCCGGTGAAGTGAACATTCTTGAAATTGACAACAGCGTCGGCAACGTCCAGAAAATTTACCAATTGACAACCGCTTTGGAGTCAATTCTTCCTTTCCACCAGATCAGCTCCTCCATCTTCATCAAGGAGTCCGTTGCAAAGGTCATTGAAGCCCTTAAGATCCTTGCTCGTCTTCTCAACATTGATGAGAAATTTGTTCCATTAATTGGCACATTATCTGACTTTTCATACGGTTTCTCACTTGTCAGATCCTTTATTCCTCTCATGCAGAAGCGTATCAAGAAAGATCCTTTCTCTGTTCTCAAACTACGTGCGACATTCCTCAAAATGACATCAATTCTCGATCTACAGCTTGTCAGAATCATCCAAAGCGAGTCTAAAGATGTCGATTCAGTTTCAGAGCATTACTCCAACATCATTGTCCAGTTTGTCCGCGATGTTCTTGAAATTGTCCCCATTTCCATTTTCGGAGTTCTCGACCAGATCATCCAACTCCGCACAAATGTTCTCAAGGAGTTACCGAACAGAATAGAGAGAGCACAGTTGAAGCAGTATGCACAGCTCGAAGAGAGATCAAAACTCGCCCATCTGACAAAGGAAATTTCCATTTTGACAAGTGGTGTTTTAGCCATGAAGACAACATTGATGGGTGTCATCACTGTTGATCCTAAACAGATGCTTGAAGAAGGCATCAGGAAACAACTCGTAAAGAAGATCATCAAAGTTCTTTACGAACAACTTGTCCAGCCAAATACAAAGGAACAAATCACTGCTGAAAGATTCAACAAGATCATTGATAGAGTTGGCAGAGCAATCGATGGCATAAGACACTCATTCGAGTACATGGGTGATTACGTTAATATCGATGGTCTCAGAATTTGGCATCACGAATACAGCAGAATTATGTGTTATTTGGTCGAACAAGAATCTAACAAATTTGTCAAGAAGAAGATCTTGGGCTGGCAATCCGAGTACCAGTCAAAAGTTGCTCCAATCAAGATCCCCAAGATGGAAGGAAAGTACGCAACATGCATCGGATCATTGGCTTTCTCTTTGATCGATTTGACCAGACAAACAAACTCTGTTTACTGCGGAATCACCGGCGGATGGTTGAATCCACAAACAGGAGAAGAAGTCCTCGGAACAAAGACAATCGATAGACTATGCAACGCTATAGGTATCGAAGGAACATCATCAATAGATTTGCTCCTTTCTTTCACTCTCGCAAGACAGTTGCGTCAGTTCTTTGAAAAATTTGAGAAAGGACATTTCGGAAATTACACGAACTTGTTGAACAAATTGCTCGATATGTGGCCATCTCCTCCAGAATCAATGGAAGTCTACAATGACTTGCTAACAAGGATCAAACAGGATTCTCATGATTGGACAATCCTCATCTGTTCAATCGGCCAATTACAGCTTCTCAAAATGACGATAGACGCCCATATGGAACTCAAATGCAAGTTGGAAGCGGAATCCCTCAATTTCATGCTTGAAAACACGAACACAACTGTTCTCCAGGCAATCAAGCAGTTCTACAGAGACCCAACACATAATCCTTACCCATCTTCAAACTTGATCGCAGCAATATCAACTTATTTGGAGAATTGCGGAATGTGTCGTCCTCTCGAGAAAATTTACACAATGTCAAAACCGCTGCCAGAAATTTCTTTGGTTATTTTCTCATTGACATTGCTTAACTTGAATAACCAGAAGTTGCAGGAATACGACAGACTCCACATGCTCCACAGGCCAAACATCTACGCACACTTCGAATTCATTGTCGGAATCATCACGATTTTGAGACAATTGAACGTAAACCACCAGTACGCGTATTTGACATTCATCGGCCAGTACGCAAACATTCTTTTGGCTTCGTTGCTCAACTCTGGAAGGATGGAATCAACTGGAGGAGTACAGATTCCAAGGGCTCTCAAGCACTTGATGATTTTCGTCAAGGACTACGAGAACTTAACAAATACTCCAAGAAGAATGGTTGATACTTTCATCCCTCCAACTATTTTTGACTACTTGTCAATTTAATTTTTTTATTAGAATTTTTTTTGGAAAATAAAATCAAAAAAAATAATACCTTTCAGTTATATGTAACATAGAAATTTTTAAAATTTTGTCAAATTTATGCCTGAAAACTTCATGAAGTATGCATTCTTGTTGCAGTTGAAGCCTCTCAGCAATTATTATGTTACATTCATGATGAACGAATACGATTTAGAGATTGGTTTAGATTATTGCGGATTGTATAATAATAAAGAATCCTTTTTAATTTATTTCGATCAAATTAACGACATTAACAAATGCTTTATTAATTCAGCGAGGTTCGATATTCCATCCTTGCTCGAATACTTCCTTTCACATGGTTCAAATATCGTATGAAATAAATAATGATGGAAAAACCACTCTTCACATTGCAGCATTGCATAATTGAAAAGAAAAGACCAAAGTTCTTATTTCATATCGTGCAAAAATTAATAAAAAAGATAAAGATGGAAAAACTGCTCTTCATTGTGCATCATATAAAAATAGTAAAGAAAAGGCCAAAGTTCTTATTTCATATCGTACAAAAATTGATAAAAAAGATAAAGATGGAAAAATTGCTCTTCATTGTGCAGCAGAACATAATAGTAGAGAAACAGCAGAACATCTTGTTAATTTATAATTTTATAAATGATATGCTATGCAAAATAAATATTAATCATTTGCTTATGTGCGAAATAACCTTTCTATAGGATTTTATTTTAATTAAAATTAATTATTGTCAGCGAAGTAATTGTTTGCATTTTCAAAACATTGAATTGAATTGAAAGAAATTGATTGTTTTTATATTAATACATTAAATAAAAGAACATTAGTTTGAATTTTGATATTTTATTACATTTTAAAACAATAATATAATAATATAAAAGTTATTGAGGGATTCCAAGATATCTTTCGGGAATTGATTCATAGTCAAATGAATCAGGATCTGCGTTCCTGTGAAGGCGATAGAATTTCCACTTGAGGTCGATCGTTTGGTCATGGATTGCACATCCTGGAAGCATCACGATCTTGATGTTGTGATTACCTCGAGTGAAATATGTCTTCGGACTCTCGAGATATGTCTCATCTGGTGTTTCATCACAAGAGTATTGATCAGACAGAGAACTTCCTGAAACGAGTTCGCCATCGATATATAGACTGCTGAATGGCTTAGACTGCAACAAGAACTGCAAATATGTATTCTGTGGCACATACAAAACCGACTCTAATGTAACAGTTGTATATGATTCACTCATTTCTATATCATCAAAGTTAGATAAAACTGTTCTATTCGATATGAAACTATCTGTGTATTTTGAGATATAAGAAATTCCTCGTTTTCCTTCATCAAAATAGTACTTTGATGTATCTTCACAAAACATGTTGTCGGTGAAACTATCACAGTAACAGCCGAGTCCATCTGAGTCTCTTCCATATTCTGGAATTCCATTCTCGTTACAATACGAATCACTTACTTGAGAACATGTATCTGTATAATATCCTGGTAAACAATCATCTGTCATACAATCAATTAAAACACTATTTGAAGTATCAATGATATCATCATAATTATCAATTGTTGCCTGAACTTGAGGAGGGTGACCAGCTCCAACATTTCCTGCTATCATCAATGGATAACATCTATTCGCATATAAATACTGATCTAAGTACTTTTTAGTATATGTATTAAAACCAGATCTTCCATCTTTTGCGTAAACATCCGAAAAATTGAATTGTGCTCTTATATTTGCATAAACAAGACCAATAATTGTGTAAGTTCCTGTTTTTTTTGGACAAAAAGAACCCGTCAATATTTGCCATTTACTGCTTGGTGGACCCTTGTTGAAATATTCGGAAAAATTAGATACATGTTTCTGGTCAATATAATATTTAATAATTCCTTGTTGACCATTACTTCTAAAAGAACAATTGTTCGCTGGGTAATGAAAATCGCTCACAAATAGGAAGAAAATCATTGGATTTTGAGATCACTTAAGCATCCCAATGATTACGCAAATTTGAGTCATTTTACCAAAACAACTGCAAATGAAATTTGTAGTTGTTTAATAATAATATACAGTATGATATAATTTTTTTGTAATCAATGAATAAAACTAATTCTTTAGAAATATTGAAACAACTCTCTCAAAAATATTATGATCGCTTTTTTTGAAAGAACATTTTTTTTCTTTTACTATTAATGAGGATAAAAAAGCAATTTCAAAAATTAGTGATCGAATATATGACCATTTTCTATTTTCAATTCTATTAAAAAGAATATATACTTACTGCACTGTTCTTGATTAAAATGAATGCCATTCATTTCCTCGCGAACAAAATTATTTTAATAAAACACATAGAAAAAATTGAGGAATACGTTCTCTCAAAATTAAATGTGTTCCCAAATATCTGCAATTAAATTATGACGTATTCTGTATTACAAAACCACACCCAATTTTCAAAAATTTAAAGTCTCAACATAATTTTCAATGCTCGATTTTTAAAAACAGTTTAAAAATGGAGCTTATATTGAAATAATGTAGAGACTAAGAATTATCACAGACTATTTCAGAGGATTGAGTGACAACTCAATCCTCTGAAAAGTCCGAGGTAATTCGAAAAATTTATCATATCGTTCAAATTTAAATTCAAACATAGAAAAGATTTTGATAAAAAAAAGGAATTAAAATATAATAAAAATAATAACTTTATATACTTAAAAAAATTTTTTTTGTTATAAAAACAGTAATTGAAATTCAATGTTGTCTCTTCTCGACTATTCTTGCGTGATTAACAGCAGCGGCCTCTAATCTTGCAACTTTAGCATTTGCTTCCTTCAATTCCTTAATAACATTATCATATAAAATCAAAAGAGAATTAAATTGTTTCTCTCTTTCGCTTACTTCGCTTTGTTTCTGCTTAAGAAGTGATGTCAATTCATCATTACTTAATACTTGGTTTCCTTGAGGATTTGAGGAATTATTCTTCATCAAAGTTAAAACTTTCTCTAATTGCTCAGCTAATTGTGCCTTTTCTTCTACCAATTTATTACACTTCCTTTGTAATTTGGCATTATTTTGTCTTAATTCGGAAATTTCGTTTTCATTTCCATCATTAAGTTCCAAATCTCTGTTCTTTTGGGCGTATTGCTGCTGCTTGGCCAAATTAGTCAACTTATTGTTCTTTTCTTCGTTGAGAGAAATCAATTTATCAATTTTTTCTTGATAAGAATCGATTTCTTTTTGTAATTTGGCAATTTCGTTTTGTTTCTCATTATTCTGCTTCTTGAGGTTGTCTATTTCATTCTTCTGGTTGTTAATATACTGAGATTTGTTGTTTAATTCGTCTTTCTGCGAATTAATCTCAAATTCGAATTCAAGTTTTTCGTTGAACAAATTATTGTATTCTTCGTTCAACAAATCGATATCTTTCTGCCTCTTCTGGATATACTCCTTGTTCTGATCAAGCTCAACCTTCTGAGAAACATTGGATGCTTTCAATGATTTGATTTCTTCGTGCAAACTATTCAATTTTTGAATGAGTTCTGAATTTTCTTTGGCGAGATTTTCATTATTATTTTCTTTTTCATGAGAATCTTCGATTAATTCTTGGATCTGTTCATTGAGATGCTTGATCTGTTCGTTGAACTCTTTCTCAGCTTCATCGATCTTTCTGTTCTTTTCTGCGAGAAGTTCGTCTTTCTCTTTTTCTTTATTCTCCATTTCTTCTTTGTTGTTTTCATTCTTCAATTCATTGAGTTGACGATTTAATTCTGCGTCTTCTTCTTCAAGAGAAATGATCTTCTGACCCAAGGCCTCGATTTGCTCCTGGTAATTAGCAAACATGTCGTTCTGTGACTTCGTGTTATCAGCAAGTTTTTGTTCTAACTGTTTCTTGGCATTCTCGAGATTTAACAGTTTCTTGTTGTTTGTTTCGAAGTCTTTGGATAGCTGCGAGTTTTGGGATTTGAGTTCTCCATTTTCATTCATCAAATTGTGCAAGTTTCTGTGTAATTCATCACATTGTTTCTGTGAATCTTTCAACTCTGATTTGAGTTTCTTTATTTCATCATTTTCTGTCTCTTTTTCTTTGGATTTTTCTGCCAATTCTGATTTGATTATTTCAATTTCATTGGCTCTTTCTTGTAACTGAGATTTCAATGAATCATTTGCTTTAATTAATTCATCAATTCTGGATTTGGACTTGCTGTTTTCATTATTCAACTCATTAACTTTAGACTTGATTGAATTGTTTTCTTTACTTAATTCATCAACTTTAGATTTAACAGATTTGTTTTCTTCAATTAAATCTTCGTTTCTCGATTTGATTGAATTGTTTTCTTTAGTTAACTCAATAAGTTTGGATTTGAGTTGTTCAAGATCTGAGGAATGATCATTTGACTGGAATTGTTTCATCTCTTCTTCGAGGGAAACAATTCTTTGCTTTGCTGCTTTGAGTTGTGTATCAATTTCATAGTTTGTAGACATTAATTCATGCATGTTTTTATCAAGTTCTTTATTATCTTTAATTTCATCATTTAATTTCTTCTTCAATTCTTCGTTTTGAGCCATTCCTTGGTTATAACTCTGTTCTAACTCTTCATACTTTGACATTCCTTGGTTATAACTATCTTGTAACTCTTCGAATTGTCTGAATCCATCATCCAACTTCTGTTGCATTTCTTCTTTTTCTTTGTTTGATTCAGTTAATTGTGTTTGAATTTCTTCTTTTTCTTTCATTGCCTTGGCCAAATTCTTTTGGAGTTCGTCCAATTTAGAGTTGAATTGTTCTGATTGTTGTTTATATGTCTTGAGATCATTCAAACTATTTGTTTGTCCATCAAGTTTGGATTTGAGTTGTTCTATTTCTGTCAAATGGGATCTGATTTGATTTGACTTTCTTTCTGTTTCTGCGGTCAATATATCAATTTGGTTCTGTTTCTCAGTGTTTTCTTGCTGTAATTTGCTCTTTTCACTCTTTGCAGCTGATAATTGTGTCTTCAAATTCTTGTTTTCTTCTTCAAACTTCGATTGATTGTTTTGTTCTTGAAGAGCTGAAACTAAAATCTTCTGTTTTTCAAATTGGTCTTTGAGAGTTCTATTTTCTTTATCAAGTTTAGATTTATCTGATTTGAGTTTGTTGAGTTCTTCATTGATCTTGGATGTTTCATCTTTAGACTTCTGAATTTCTTTCTCTTTGTTTTCGATGTCATCTTTGAGTGTCTTTATTTCTCTCTTCATATTGAATATATCTGACTGCAAGTCTTGGATCTTTTCAGCTGAACTCTGATCTTCTTCTTGTTCTTGCTTCTTCGCATTTTCTTCTGTCACTTTTTGAAGATCAGATGTCACTTTTTGTAATTCAGATGTCACTTTTTCAGCTTCTTGATTCAATTTCTGAATTTCTTGATTCAAGTTGTTGATTTCTGTATCTTTAGCAGCGAATTCTTTCTTCTGTTTCTCAAGTTCTTGTGTGTTCATTGTGAAGGTGAGTTTAAGACTGTTTACTTCGCCTTCTTTCTCTTGAACTTCTTTTTGTAATTTTTCTGTTTTTTCTTTGAGTTCTTCGTTTTGTTTCTTGAGTTCTTCATTCTCTTTCTCCTTATTTGTGATCATTAACTTGCTGGCAGTGATTTCTCTTTCTTTGTTCTGAAGTTGTAATCTGACTTCTTCGTCATCATTTGTCACTTTTTCTTTCATTTCTTCAATTTGTTTTTCTAAGGATTTGTTTGTATTGTGCAAATCAGACATATCTTTATAGTGATGACTTGCTTGTTCTATTTCTTGGCGTCTCATTGCTTCTATTGTATCATTAAGAGCATTGATTTCTTGATCCTTTTCTTTGCGTTCTTTATCAAGTGACTTCAAATTATCTGCATATTCTGCCAATTTCGATTTAATGAATTGTCCGAATTCTTCTTTTTCTTGTTGATTCTTTTGTGCTTGAGAAATTAATTCATCTTTCTCTTTGTGTAATTCATCAAGTTTTTGTTGTAATTCATCGATTGCCTTAGAAAGAGCTTTGTTTTCTTCAAGAAGTTTAGCATTATCTTTCTTCTTTTCGTTTGCATCAGCAACAAATTTGGATGTAAGTCTTACTGGTGTCATTTCTGTATCATTTACAACTTTCCTGATTTCACTTTCTATCTTGTTCATCTTCTCTTTTCCGAGTTTGTTTTCTTCTGACAAATCATCAATTTGTCTCTTATTTTGTTTGTTTTCTTCTGACAAATTGTCAATCTGTTTCTTCTTCTGTTCATTTTGTTCAGACAAATTATTGATTTGCTTCTCATTCTGCTCATTCTTTTCAGCCAAATCATCAATCTGTTTCTTATTTAACTTGTTTTCTTCTGATAAATTATCAATCTGTTTCTTCTTCTGTTCATTTTCTACTGATAAATTATCAATCTGTTTCTTCTTCTGTTCATTTTCTACTGATAAATTATCAATCTGTTTCTTCTTCTGTTCGTTTTCTTGGGATAATGCATTGATTTGCTGGGATTTCTGAGCGTTTTCTGCTTTGAGTGCTTCGATTTCTTTGGTCTTTTCTTCAATTAAAGCCTTGTTTTGGTTGATTTCCTTGGACTTTTCTTCGTTTTCGGATCTCAATTTGTTGATTTCGGAATTGAGAAGGTCGAATTGTTCGGATTTCTCCCGGAATTGCTTCTTCAAGGCATCAATCTCCTTCTGCTTTAATTCGTTTTGGTCGTTGAGTGAGTTAAGACGAGATTCAAGATCTTTGATCTGATTCGCCTTGTTTTCGAGCTCCTTCTGAAGATCGGCAATCTGCTTGGCAAGAGAATTATTCTCCTCTTGCATTTGGCCGTTTGCGGACAATTTGTACTGGAGATCCGAAATTTGACCTTTAATCTGTTCGGCTTCTGTGTTCTTTGCGGCCAATTCGCCCTTCAACTTGTCGATCTCTGCTTTAAGACGTTCAATTTCGGAGTCTTTGGAATCAATTTCGGATTTGTAATGATTAATTCTCTCCGCGAAAGCTTCTGCTTCCTTCTCCATGTTTACAATGAGTTCAGCCTTTTCATCGTTGTCATTTTGAAGGTTGTCGGTAATTTCGCGATATTTATTCACTGCATCCTGGAGATTAGCGATCTTTTCGTCTAAGCTGTGCTTGAAATTCTTAGCAGCTGAAACTGGAGAGGAGCTTGTGTCGTTGTTGCTGAACATTTCCAAAGCTTGGGTTAATTTGGTATTTTCTGCTTGCAAATCTTCATTTTGCTTGACCTGGGCTTCAAAGAGTCCGTTTAGTTCAGCGAGTTTGCCTTTGAGTTCTTCAATTTCCTCATCTTTGGATTGGATAATTGCTTCATTAACTTGGTTTAAGGAGCTGTTAAGTTCTTGGCTGAAAGAATCATCAGATCCCTTTTCTTTTGACTTTTCTTGTAATTCAGCTAATTGTTTTCTGAGATTCTCCAATTCTTCGGTTAATTTCTGGTTCTCCTGGCTAGTCTTATCACTATCCTGCTTAAGCTTGTCGTTTTCTTGCTTAAGTTTCTGATTATCTGCCTTGAGATCCTCATTTTCACCCTTAAGCTGTTTCGGAGAGTCGATTGTAACATCTAAGGCTGAAGTATTGACCTCGTCTTCATCAGTATTTGTCTTTGAAGCCTTCTTAACTGGAGATCCTGCATTGGATGAAAGGTCTTTATCAAGGAGAGCCTTGAGATCGGCAATTTCCTTATCCTTATTAGCAAGTGATTCCTTCAATTCGGTGTTTAATGTCTGAAGAGTTAGGATTTGAGCTTCTTGGTCGACTTTAGCATCAAGCTCTGCTTTGTATTTGTTAATACGGGAAGTAAAGTCGTTAATTTGGGTCTTCTGAGTTTCGTTTTCGCTTAATGTCTTTGAAAGCTCTTTTTCAAGATATGAAATTCTTTCATTAAGAGTTTTATCGGACTTTTCAGCGAGTCTCTGATTAAGAATTTCAATCTCTTTCTCTAAAGCTTGATTCGTTGCCTGTAATTCTTCGATTTCTTGCTCATGAATTTCAATTTGGGATTGTAAAGCATTTTCTTGGGAGTTTTGGGCAATATCGTTCATTTTCATTGGTTTATGCTTTAGTTCTTCAACTGCTGCTTCTAATTCCTTAATTCTATTATCCTTATTTTGGATAATTTCGCATAATTCTGAGGCAGAATCATTCTTGTTAATGGAAATATCAAGCTGAGATGCGGAAACTTCACTTTCGTCACCGTTGATTTGGGATTTCGAAAGTTTTTCTTGGAGTTCGTTAACACTTTCATTAAGTTGGGATGAGGACTTATCTGCCTTTTCAATGGCAGCAACAATGCCCTCGTTCTTTGGATCTTTCTTCAATTGTGCAACAATTTTTTCTTTTTCCGCAATTGCATCCTTGGATTGCTTGAATTTCTGATCAACCTTGCCAACAATATCATTTATCTTATTCTCCAATTCTCTAATTGTGTTATCTCTTTCAAGAATTGAAACGTCCTTGGATTTGATTTCTTCATTCAAGGATTGTATCTGTTGTTGATAGCTTTCAAGTTGCTTAGCAGATTCTTCATATAAAATGCTATCTTGGGCAATTCTCTCATTAAGCGTATCAATTTGGGCTTGCTTTTCTTTAATTGTGGCTTGAAGTTTAGCCTTTTGCTTTTTAGAAGCTGTTTGAAGTTTAACTTCCGTATTTTCAAGTTCAGTATTTAATTTTTTAACTTGTGCTTCTAAATCGGAAATTGATTTGGCTTGAGCGCTTAATTGAGAAGCATATTGCAATGTTTTTTGATTTAGCTGTTTTTGGAATTTTAATCCTAATTGAGAAATCTTTTCTTCATTAGCCTGTTCTCTAGAAACTTGATTAGCTTTTGAACGGTATTTGTAATTTTCTTCTTGCAAAGATCGGATTAAAATATCTTTCTCTTTTATCTTTTGTGCTAATTCGGCATTTTTGGATTCTAACGCCAAATTTTCCTTCAAAGCGCCAGATAAAGCCTTTTCTTTCACATTAAGCATCGCATTTGAACGAGAACTGCTTGTATTTGGCGAGTGTGTCGATCGATTAAAAGAAGAACTCATATTTTTATTAATTAATAAACTACCACCCTGGATAGATGAAGTGAAAAGAAAGGGCCAATTTTTAGATAATATTGGAATTTACCTTGTTGTATGCTTAAATATCACGGAGTGTCAAATTTATGTTGACTTCGGGAGAATTATTAGGAAAATTAAATTTAAAATTGGATTAATTTGGTAGTGCATTTCATTATGACATAACATTTAGGTTGGAGTTATTATAGTTTTGTTCGCAGATTTTTGCATTCTCAACTTAATATCTTCGTTATTTCTTACACTTGCAAAATTTCTCCGTGCTATGAAGAAGATCTAAGAGTTTAGTCAAAAATAAACTACGATATAATAACAAAAATATAATTAATAGTATTACATTTCAGCCAATAATTATTCAAGCAAGATTCTTTATATATTTTAACTTTCACCCAAAGACTAACACAATTGACTCCAGGCTTATCGTTAATAGATGGTAGGTTAGGCCATTCCGGAAATGTTCCAGTATATCCAATCGCATAATACCAGCCGTCAGATCCAGGTTGACCATCCAATAAAACATATTCTGTTTTTGAACGCACAAGACCTCCCCAAGTATTATCAGTAATTTTTGTTAAATTACGATATCCCGTAACAAAATAAAAATCTCCGAATACTTCATCTTCAAATAGCGGGTTGTTGCTTTGCTGCCATATTAAATAAGTAGAAATTTCTTCATAAACTATACAAAAAGTGAATTTTTCATCCCTATCACGTTGTTCGTCGCCAAGATCACTTAGAATACTATATCTATTCTCAAGATCACACTTAATTGCTTGCTTTGTGTTATTAAAGAATTGGCCTTTAGTGATATTATGGTAAAATATAAGTTGATAGAGCTCACCATTGATAAATCCATACCTTTTCTTTCCAACATTGAATGTACTAGTAACAATCGTCTGTCTTAAAGTCTTATAGTGATATAATGTGCACCAAAATTATAAGAAAATTGAAAGGTTACTCAATTTTATAGAAATTGTCAAATGATGAACTGTAGGTGAACTTTCGAGCCTATGACTGAATTTAGCATCCATGTAACGAAAATGAGCCAAACTCATAGGCCAACATTTTAAAACAAAAAGAATTTACACGAGATTTCGATAATATATGTTAATTGAATTAATATGATAACATATTCCATTATATTTCTGTTTAAATGCCTGAATGATAAGGTAAATATGGCTTTTCTCATTAAGTTTACATTTTTAGCACTATACTTTCTCCATATCAAGATTGTTTCAAAAATTCTTAAATTTTATGCATTATTTATAAGGGTTTAGTCTGATATCAGCAAAGAAACGAAGATTTGAATATAATTAATATTATTACATTTCAACCAATAATTAATCATGCATGATTGCTCATAAATTTTAACTTTCACCCAAAGACTAACACAGTTAACTCCAAGCTTATCAGTAATAGCAGGTAAATTACTCCAGGATTCATGAGTTCCATTATAACCTATGGCATAATACCAACTGTCTTTTCCAGGTTGACCATCCAATAAAACCGGTCCTGATTTTGAACGCACAAGACCTCCAAAATAAATATCGGTTATATCTGTTAAATTATGATATCCAGGTACAAAATAAGGATCTCCGATAACTTCAATTTCAAATAGCGGGTTGTTGCTTTGTTGCCATATTAAATAAGTTGGAATCTCTTCATAAACAAGACAAAAGGTGAATTTATGATCACTATCACGATGTTTATCACCAAGATCGCTTATAATACTATATCTATTTTCAAGATCACACTTAATTGCTTGCTCTGAGTTATTAAAAAATTGACCTTTGGTGATATTATGGTAAAATATAAGTTGGAAAAGCTCATTATTAATAAATCCATACCTTTTCTTTCCAATGTTGAATGTATTAGTAATAATCGTTTTGCTTAAAGCCGTATATTAATGTTTAGAGGAGAGCAAAAATAAAAAAAGAAAATTGAAAGGTTACTCAATTTAATTGAAATGAATTGTAACGAAAATGAGCCAAAATCATGGGTCGACATTTTAAAGCAAAAAGAAGCAACAAGAAATATGCCTCCAAGAAAGCAGTACTATGAAAAGCCCCAAATAGTCAAATATGAGGAAGCCGGCATATTTAATAGAGAAAATGAACACAATGCCGAATTTGAGAAATCATACATCAATGTTGACACGTCATTTTATGAACCAAGCGAAATTTTTGTACCACTTCCACCAAGAAAAGAAAAACAATATGTTAAACGTGACCATGGACTAGATTTGATATCCTGGGATGAAACAAAATTCGATGATGAAATTAAACCTAAAACAATAAAGCGTCTAGATCTTTCGAAAGTTAATAACGAATTTGATATTATTAGTCAAAAACCAAAAGTTTCTCCATTTAAATTTAATGTCGCACAATTATTGGAACAGAAGAATACTGCTAAACAGATTTTATCTGCACGCCCTATAAATCCAATAACAAATTCTTTTCCTTCTCAAGAAGCAGAATCAGTTAGGATTGAAAATGAAGAAACAATGAGAAAATTGAGTATTGAGCGTAAAATTAGTAAACTTCCACTTACTGAAAGAAGAAATAGAGGAAATTTAGTAAATATTATTACCTGCGAAGCCAAGGATGAGGATTTAGCAGACAAAATGTACCAAAGTACATCTCCTAGAACACACGGAATTTCTGGTGCTTATGTTGAAATGGAAATGCAAAAAAGAAGAGAAAATGAACGATTAGTTGAAATGCTACGCTTTGAAAAGAAACGAAATTCACCTGCTGTTCTTAAACACGTTCGTGATTGGAACCCTATTTTAGGAAATGAACCGCAAAAGAGAGATAACGAAGTTATTCAATCTCTTCCATCAGTTCGAAAATGGATTAGAGCTTAAGCTTTTGTTTTTATCAAATAATTTTAACTTTTGTATTGTTATTATTAAATTGTTAGTGTAATTTATTCATCAAAATAGACAATATCATTAATACATACTATTTTTAAAACCTCTCAATTGCTTTCCTTATCTTGTCTCTACTCAATAGGTGTGCAGGGATTATCAGAGTTTAAGAAATAATTATCACAGTTATGAACAAGAATTCACATATTTTTTTAATGACTTTCAAAGAAGTGATATATTCTTTATCACAAAGATCAGTTATTCATGATGTATAAATTACAGTTCTTTTTCATCGTGAAAAATTTATAGTTTTGCTAAGAACAATATTTTACAATTTACTGATTCATTTTCACTAATAATAAATAATATTACAACATTTTACTTCTTTTTCAGCTTCGATAGAGCGGAATATTCTCTCTGAAGACGTCTTAATGTTGTCTTCTTTTCATCAATTTCGTTTTGCATCTGTTCTCTTTGAGATGCGAACTGGAGTTGTTGTTCCGCAAGAGCAGAAAGCTGAGCCTTTTGTTTGGCCTCTCTTTGTTCTGCTTGTTCTAATTCATTCCTCAATGCAATTACCTCTTGCTGTTTCTTTGCAAGTATCATCTGTGTTTGCTGGTTTTCAGCTTCAATTCTTTGGACTTCTTGGCTGAGAGCGCCGACTTGTTGTTGTGCTTTAACAACCATTTCTTCTTTTTCTTGCAATTGATCTTCATTCTCTTTGGCAGCATTTTCAGCAGCTGCCTTCCATTGTTCAGCGAATTGCTTGTTCTGGAGGAATAATGTCTGTAATTGCCTCATCTTCTCAAGATGTGAGCGTCTGACTTGATCAAGCTTAGAAGATAATATATGAAGTTCTGTATCTTTTTCGGAAACTTTTAGTTCGATATTTCTCTTTGATTCAACAGTTACATTTGATAATTCTGCTTGTAATCTGCTGTTTTCAGTTAATAAAGCAGCCCTTGCAGCCATTGCTTCGCCAAGAGAAGCTTTGACTTGTGCAAGATCTGCTTCTAGTTTTTCTACATTCTTTCGTGCTGTGGAGTTTGACTTTTCTGCATCACTTTCTGCTTGAGATAACTTTTGTTTTTGACGATTTTCTTCATCTTTAAGTCTCTGTGATTCACGTGTTAAATCAGCCAATTGTGTATTAAGAACTTCTAATTGTGTCTTTGCCCCACGACTAAATTCTTCAAATGCTGTCTTTCCACGTCCATCATCTGCTCTTAAAACTGCATTTTGTGATTCTATAAATGTAAATTGTCTTCTTAATGTTTCTATTGAAGCAGATAATTGTGCATTCTCTTCTAATAATTTTGTGAGTTGTTTATCCGCATCTTCTATCTTAGCTTCGTAATTGAAATTAATTGCATTAATTTTTCTACGAGCTCCATCCTTCAAAGCAGCAAGAGTTGAAGCTAAATTCTGTCTAGATCTTGTAACTTCTTCTTTCATTGAAGCTGCTTCACGTTTTAGACAATTTGCTTCTGATTTGTATTCATCAGCATCATCAATTGCTTCTTTCATCTTTGCAATTGCTGATTTTTCTATCTCTTCTTCGCGAGCAAGCTGTTTCTGAGCAAGATCGTACGCTGCAACCATTTGATCATGGTCAGCAAGTAATTCTTGTAATTTTTGGATCTTTAATTCACCTTCGACTCTTTCAGGTTCAAGTTCTGCAACTCGCTTAGAAAGAGATTCATTCTTCTTTGAAAGTTCTTCACGCTGTTTTAAGCAATCATTAACAGAATTTTGATGTTCTGCTAAATCTCGTCGATATTGCTCAACATCACGAGTTGCTTTCTTAAGTAATGCTTGAACTTGATGAGTTTCTTGATAAACTTTTTCAACTTCTTCTGCATATGATAATAATTCTGTTTCTAAAGATTTCTTTTGTGCTTCAAGGTCTTCGATTTTTGATTGAATATCTCTTAATTCAGCTTCACGCTGTCTTAGACGATTTGAATCGAAGCTTCTCCTTTTTTCTTGATTTTCTTTTCCTTCTTTTGCATTTCTATTTTGTGCAAGTAAATCATTCTTTTTCTTCATTAGTACACGAATTTGTTCTGACAGATCGTTTCCGCTGCCGTCCGGATTATTCGTTAATAAATCGATTTGCTCTTTGAGTTCTTTCTCTTTCTTTTTCAGATATCTCATTGATTCTTCGTATGTCGATAATAAGTCTTGATATAATTTTTGGTTTGCAAACCATTTTGGCATTGGAAAATCGTCTGTACCTTCATAAGATGTTCCAAATTCCTTTTGATAATCTTCAATATATCTTTTGGTTTCCTCCATCATCTTATCAAGAAGAGTTCCATCAGAAAATGAAGCTTCGTCGGAATCTTGAGCTGACATAAGGAAACTTTTTTTTCGGGTGCACGTTTATAATTTTGCGCATTCATTATTCCTCCTTAGAAAAGACATGATCTATATGCAAATGCTATCAATACGCACATAATGACTTATTAATTGATTTAAATTCCGATTTTATAATTATTTGACATAATTTTGATATGAATTACACTTATTGATACCGAGTATATATATATTTGAGGTTTACAAAAGTATTTTGTTCTTTTTGAATCAATATAACCTAATAAATAAACAAGAGAACAGAGATCAATAAAATTTATGAAAAATCATTAACTATATATTAAACAATAAAGACGATTTTTATCTATATTAACACCTATAACATAACAATTGAATATATATAAACAATTTGAACAATTAATATTACGAATATGATCGCATTTTTACAATTTTGCTTTCTTCTATCCCGTTCTAGATATGTATAATCTATTTGAAGTGATTTTTCGAATGAAGCCGAAAAATCAATATAGATTCCATCCTTTTTCTCCTCTTGAACATTTTGAATTCCGATTTCAGATTTAGTTTTAGGAGATTTATCTATAATAACTGTTCTCTCATAAGGAGATTCCTGCATTCTAGCTATTGTAAGTCTTTTACTCACTTCTCTTCCTTCACTCAGCCATTGCAATCTTTTACTTAGGTTTGTAACATCTTTTTCCGAAGAAGAAAGCTTTTGTTGTGCAATTTTGAGAGATTCTTGGAGAGCATTGTATTCAACTTCAATTCCTCTGTTTGTTGTTCTTAAATCATAGATTTCTCCATTTAATTCCTCAATTTTTGTGTTTTGAAGTTCCATCTGATTATCACAATCCATTTGTATTTCCATGAGCTTTTTATTGTATTCACGTTCAGCAATTGTCATTTTATCTTTCATTTCAGATCTCATGTCAGAAATCTTTTTATCTCTAATATCAATTTCTGTTTGTTGTTTAACTATTTGGGATTTAAGATCATCGATAATTACCTTCTCTTTATAGTTTTCTTCTGCTTGTAATCTTGCAAATCTTTCTGCAATTTCATCTTTATCATGACTGAGTTTTTCTTTTTCTTCCTTTAATAATCTGATTTCTTCCTTGAGATCTTCGTTCTCTTTTTGAAGCTCAGTATTTACTGGAGTTGATTGATTTGAAACTGAATACTTCATATCTCTTAATTCCGATATATCAGTGTTTTCGAGATTTATGAGTTTCTTAGCAATTTTCTTCTTCCTCTTAGGTAAAACTGCTGGAGGAATATCTTTCCAAAGTTCAGGATCTTCTTCTGCCATTAAATCTTCTGTTGCCAAATGCAGTTCATCAATTAATTTCAATTTTTCAATTGTTTTTGCTGCTTGTGTTCCTCTGTTTTCAGGAATTGCAAATTTTGTTCTTTCATGCTCTACTTGACCACCAAGAGTAATATTCAGCAAAGTAGTAAGTTCATCTCGTTTTCTTTTAAGTGCAGGATCTGATTGCATTTGAGGAGCTTGTGCTGCGTTATTCTTCATGTCTTCTAATTCTTTTTCGAGTTCTTTAATCCTCTTACGTAATCTGTCAACGTTGTTTTCTTGAACTTCGTTGATCTTTGGCTGGTTTGTGATTCTCATAGCATTCTGTGCAAACTTGATACTGCTATAAGAAGTCGAAGTATGAATCTTTTCATTTGCTAATGTAGTAATGATTACTGTTCTTGAGTTGCCACCAATTGAATCAGCAAGGACAAATGTAAGCTTTGAATCTCTATTTGTTACTACTTTTTCATCTGGTTTCTTATTTGCAACGGTGTAGATTAATTTTGTAAGTGCAAGTAGAGATTTGTTAATATTACTTCCTTCTCTTTGCCTATCTCCTGTAGCATTAGTTCTTTCTTGGCATTCACTACCGGCTAAATCGACAAGATCCAAGTGTGATATCAAACTTGATCCGCTATCTTTCGTAGATTCAATAGTAATTCTTAAAATTGCATGAGATCTGCTTGATCTATCGTTTTCTTTAGTCGATGCTGTTGCTCTTTCGTTTGAATTTGATGTATAAATAGATAAAAGATTTGTAGAGTTTTCAACATACACAGATGTAAGAGAAGCAGTAGACTTTGCAGTACTTCTGCTTGCTAATAAGTCGATAATCTTTTCATTATAGATTTCAAAGTAAGACATTCTTACACCGTAGTGTCTTGACATATCTTGGCCAATAATTTGGAATATATCTTGAACTGCAAATGTAATAATGCCTGTGTGCTTTGAATCTCCAGTCATCGTGAAAGTTTTACCGGATCCAGTGCTGCCGTATGCAATGATTGTTGAGTTTTTTCCTTGAATTGTTTCTAATATAACGTCTTTAACAGATTCGTAATAAATGTCTCCAGTTGTTGATTCTGGGCCGTAAACGTAATCAAATTTGTAAATGTCGTTTGGTTTTTCAAGTAAATTTATTTCATTACTATCCCTATTAATGTCGTATATGCCTTTTTCATCTTGTGATGGTCGAACACGAATAGCAACTCTAATATTCGTGCTCATTTTATAAATTTTTTGGAAATTCAAAACGTGCACATAATTTCAAAAGAAATGCATGTGGGCTCAGGATTACATTTAAAATAAGAATATTAAACAAAATTTTCAATTAATTTATTCAAATCTACAAATTACAAATGAATCTCCGAACTTAGTAATGAATAGATTGACAATTTAATCAGAATCATTTCCTTTGGATATAGCATCAATGTACTTTATAGATAATATGGTATTGCTGATCTTAAACAAAAAAATATCAACATATTTGATTCAATTAATAAGATAAGAAACCTAGATCATGATAAAATCCTCTCAACTTCATAGCCTTAATGTTAAAAAGTAGGAGAAATAAAGTTTTAAAAAACAGTTTATATTAATACTCTATATTTTCGAATGGAGTCAAAACAAGTATTCATTGACATAACAATATAATAAAGTGTTGACATATTATTTGTTTTCTTGATAAATTCGAAAATTATTCTGCTGGTTCTTCATTAATTAAATATTCTGTATCATTCGTGGATTTTTCTGGTGTTTCATTTCTTCTCCAGAAGAAATGGTGCATAAATATAATGATAGAAATGATGAAAACAAAAACAGAACTACCAAATGAAAATTTTGCATAAAACAAAACTTCTTCATGTGTATTTGTGCATTTTATATCATTGATAATGCCTTGGAAGGTTGCTGGAACTGCGATTGGCATTAATGTTAATGGGATCGAATTAAAATGGCAATAATGAACTCCAGTATGTTTTGAACTAGCAGTGAATTCGAATGTATATGGAAGTTCATGCGGTAACAATCTGATGAAGAATGGAGGATAAGAATGTGAATGTTCATTGACTAATTGCTTTTTCATTGAGCCATTATAGAGTTCAACCGCATCTTGTCCGTAATCCATACGCATTTTTACTGATTTGGCAGCGAACGGTGAGAAAATACATTGAACTTCTGCTTTTTGATTAACTAGTGCATTAAAATGCATTTTATGCTCTAAATCGAATACAAAATTATGCGCTGGACATAAATTATCTGGTAACTCCCAATAATAAAACGTTAATGGATCTTGATGATTTGATTTTATTGTGAATACATCATCTTTCATATGTAAATATGGTTCTTGGTATGATGAAGCTGTGTAATTTCTTCTTTCGCTGAAGAAGGTGAATATTAATTCGCCACTCCGGACTTTTGGAATAGACATAACAGCCGATTTATTAGAAAAGTCCATTTTTACAGTTTCTCCATTTGTAATTGTTAAATTTTTAAATCCGTAACAGTCTGCGGATGAAAGAAAGAGCAAAAACATTTGAAAGTTGAGGAAAAGGAAATCACTTTTTTTATCAGCCTGCAACTGTAATATGATATCATGAGACAAAATAAAACCGATACCATAAGATTAAATCTCCAAAAGGTAAGAAGAGCCGTTTTCAAATTTATTGATAACAAGAAGAACAAAGATACACAAACACAAATGAAACAAAAAGCAGAGTGATGACCAGGGAATCAGGCACATATAGTTATTTTGCCAATAGATATCTTAATTTTAAATTTGTTTGCTTATTTCATTCTTTATGATATACTTTAGAGATGTGTATTAAGAAAACATTTATTTTACTAATGTACAATCTAATAAACTGATAAAAAAAATATTAACGGGACAGAATTTATTTTGGTTCACCTGATGATTCAATTTCTGGATCCTCGACATCATTTTCATGCGATGGTGGGAAATATGTTTGAACTAATTCTATAACATCGTTAATATGATCTGCAATAAAAGCGTAATCTTCGTTTGAAGAGAAGATAGCAGTAACTTGTTGTTCGTTTTCTGGTCTATTAGCAATTAAATCGCGGATTTTGAATGGTGAAATGTTAGGAATTCTGTTTTGAATTTCTTCTGTAAATTTAAGAATCTGATGAGCAATTCTATGATCATCTTGGAACTCACTTGTTCCATCTGGGCAGTGATCAAGTAAAGATGGGATCATGGAAGCTCTTGCTATATCAACTCTTTGATATTGACCAAGATATTTTGCATCTCTTGCATCATCATAAACTACCGCATCTGCACGTCTTCTTTTGATAACTTGAAGTGTTTCATATGCAGTCAAATATGCATGTTGAGTTTCAAGAACTTGCATTTGTCACTTTTTTATCAAACTCTGCCTTCATTGATTTTCTGTCTTTTCATGAATAGGAACAACGAAAGCGACCAACACGAAATCAACAAAGCGCCAAATTTAGCAGCGTATGAATAGAGTCAATTCATATCCCTTTTAAAATTTTTTCATCCATTTCTCAATTTCCTGAAATTAACTTTAATTATTTCTATTTTGAGCTTTGATATCAATTTAAGTGATTATAATGTAGATAACTCTTCATATTTTCCCTTTTCATTTCAGTATTTTCGCAAGATTTTAGATGAGTAAGCGTTTTTAATGTAAACCATAGGGTGTTCTTAATCATAGATTGAATCATGATGGTTTTGCAATCTCTCATGCTTAAATATACACGTTTTACGACATTTTCTTGAAAATGTAATCTATCAATTGCCATATAAACTGATAATTTTCTAAGATTTACCTACTAATTGCTGAGTATAAACAAATTCTAGCTGTGCTTTGGCATAATCTTCTACTTGAAAACAAATTCGAAACACTTTTATTATATTTCTTGATTATTCGATCTGAAATTCGTTTCATTATAGCAACACATCGATATATTGTTGTATAAAATGTCGACAAGAGTTACCTATTCAATACATATTTTTTTTTTATTTTTATGGCTGAGAATCCAGAGGGAACTGTTGTTGAATTCAATCCATTACAGACTCCAGTCCAGAATAACGATATTCAGATAGGATTTCGTGACTTTGTTAAGTATTTAACAGATGGATATTACGAAAAGGATATTCAAAAGCAGTTTCATGACTTATCTGATGGAATCACAGGTCTCAATAACAAGCTTGAGAAAGAACTCTTTAGAGTTCAGAATGCTCTCGTTGCAAATCCATCAAATACAATTCGAACATTACCTCTTTTAGCAGGAAGAGAAGTCGAATGCATTTCAACAGTTCAACCAGCAGCATGGATCAGTGGCGTTGTTGGCGGCATGTATGATCCAGTTAAAGATTTTATCTGTTTAAATTGCGTCGGTCATTGGGAAGGAAAAGCAAGATCCCTTAATCACTATCTATGGAAATCAATAACAACTCCATGCTTTTGCGCTTTTCATCTTATTGCATTAATCTCGATCATTTTAGGCATTTTATTTGCATATTTGAATCCAAATATTAAGAATAATAACCTCTCTGAGATAAAATCAATTATTATTGTATCTGTTATTTCCGTAAGCTATGATTTAGGATGCGTAATTATTTTACTCATGTTGGAAACATTTTCACCTGATGATCCTGCTCCATTTGAAGCTTCACAAGTTCAAGAGCAAGTGCATCAAGTTATAAATTCTGCAATTGAATGCATTGCAGTTGAAATTTCTGATGAACATAAATCACTTGCAACAAATGAAATGGAAATGAAGAATCCTCAACTTGTTGGCCATTTCGTCATGGTTTTCTTCTATGAAACCGGCAAAACTGTCCTTGCAAACCTTCTCAAGCCAACTGGAATCTTCTCTGAAAAGAACATTCAGACAATTGAATGGCCCGAATTCGAACGTTTTCTTTCATTGTTCAGATTCCTCCGTGAGTTCTCTGATGCTGAAATCCTTACATACGAACCTATTCCAGATTTGACAAGAAAGAAATTTTTCAAAGCTCTCATTGTCGCTCTTGAACGTGGTCAGCCAGAAGTCCACTTCCAACTCCTGAGGTTGCTTGCTCTCGCACTTGAGCCACCGAATATCAGAATGCAACATGTCGAAAAAGACAAACATGATATTAACATGAATCACTATCTAACAACAAACTCGGTTCGATCTCTTGTTCATGATCTCAAAATTGATCTTATCAAATGGAAGGCTTCTAAGAATCCTCTTTCATATGGTTCAATTGAGAATCAGGCCAGAATCGAAGTCATTGTTGCAAAGTCATCAGACGAACAACTTGTTACCTTCAGATCTCATGCTTCAAGATTCAGCTCAACTTATACCGAATTAGGATGAATTCTTTTTATCTCTATTTCACCTTCTTGTTTTATGATTAAATATCCGTTTTTTACTATAAAAAAGCTTTTTGTGAATCTAAATATGATGCAATAGTATTATTTTTACAAAGAGAAGATCAGTTTCAAATAATTATCTGTAATTAAGAAGCTCTAATATAAGTTAACCTTTATATTCATAAAAAAAATAAAAAATTGAAAGAATTCTAATAAATTAGTTATTGAAGATGAGTTACAAGTGCAACTCGTACAGTTTGATCATATGCACTCATTACAGCCAACCCTTCCTTATCTGGATGCCAATCAAATGAGTTAATTGGTTGGGTAGATAATTGTGATGATGATACGTTCTCATATTTAATATCTTTCTTAGATTTCTTCCAAACTAATAGTTTGCCGCTTCCACCAGTTGTTGCTATGAAATCACGTTTCTGTGGGCAATGCTGAACAATCCAAACAGTAGCTGAATCATCAATCTTAACAACATTAGATCTATATCCTTTATCTGTTGGCTTGTCAGTTAAATCAAATGTGACTAATTGACCCGTCAAGCATCCAGCTGTAACACGAGAAAGCTGAGAATAGCGATCTGAAAATTGAACACTAGCAACACCATTACGAAGATTCGTCTCCCATGAAACTTGATTTGCACGAAGATCCCATAATTTAAGATCTCCATTATCGTATCCAGCGATGACTGAGCGATCAGATGGGCCAGTAGTTCCACCCATTGACACTGCCCAGCAATCTCTAATTGTACCCTCTGGTTTTAATGTAGCAACAGCTGGATCTTGAGCGCGAATGTCGACAATGCATACATTACCATCTCTAGATCCGGTAACTAATTCAGATGGGCCTGGAGCAGCACCACCATCAATGCAGTTAATGATCTTTTCGTGTACTTTATATTTGAATACTGAATTTTTCTTGCCTTCGTTAAAATCAAATGTCATAACATTTCCTTCAAGATCACCTACAGCAATGTTTCTTGTAATAGGATCAGTTGCAGCAAATGTTGCACATCTGATAGCGTTTTCTGTTTCGATATCGAGTAATTTCATCAAGAATGGCTCTTTTTGAGATTGCATTTTGTATACTTGAATTACTCCTGTTCCTCTTGGGCGTGATCCGCAAATTGCAATTCTCTTTGAATTCGGAATCCATCTAGTTTCATACACTGTGTATGGCATATTTTCGCAATGAAGTTCAACAATATGTGTTGCTTGAAGTTTTGCACCTGATTTAGACATATAAAGATAATATTTCTATAAAATTAAACGTGCACCTAAAAATACGTTATTTTGGAGAAAACATTTTCTTAGAGTTTTTGAATCCTTAAATAAATGGGGATTCAAAATATACATCTCCTACATGGAGAAATTAAAGATTTATTTAAAGATAATTTGGAAGCTAAATAATAATATAAGCTTCTGGCCGAAAGTCTTATAGTTTTCGGCATTTATATTGTTACGCAGGTTTATCATAAGAATTTTCTCCTAATGAATTTCAAAGATGTATTTATAATAATTTCAAATCATATAAAAAAGAAGTTTTTATTTATTAATATTAGTCTGATATCATTTGGATTATTAAATCCGAAAATGAAGGATCTTGGGATAGTTGTTTTGCAGCATCGAAAATGAACTCTTCAGACTTTTCTACGCTAATAAATTCTTGGTTTTTAGCGAAAGCCAGAATCCATTTTGGAGCTTTCAAATCGACCAATTTCATGAAAATTTGCTGTTTCGATCCAAATAACAAATTATTTTTGAGTATTTTATCAACGATTTCATCAATTTCGTTGCAATCCAATTCATGTTTCAAGCAAGTAAAAGCTTCTTCATTATCTGCTGCACTTTCTAGCAAAGCTTCGTCGATTGGCAAGAAATCTTTTTCATTCAAATCGATGCATCTATGTTTCATGCAGTGCCAACCTTCGTCTTTGAAAGAAGAAACAATTAATTTACTCATTTCCTTTTTAACTCCGAAATCATTGCATAACTTAATGTATTTAAGTTTGATTGAGTTTGTTGATTCTTTGTAGAAATCTTTTGACATATCATTGTGCATGTATTTCTTGCAATTTTCACTGAGAAAATCTAAATCGAATTGCCACAAAATATCAATAATTTCTCTTTTATCAGTGAATAAGTTATCATTCAAAGAATCAACTAATAAATCAAAGATCTTCTGGTTCGGTTTGGAAAGATTCTTCTGTAATAATGATAACTCGTTTCTCAATATAATAAAGAACATTGGCTCTTTCAAATCATTTCTCATGATATCGGAAAATTCAATGAAATTATCAATTAAACAAGAATCATATGCTAAATCACAATTCGAACTCATTGCGATGCTGATATAATAGATATCCTTGTAAATAAGATTGTGGCCACATGGAAGTTGATCAACAATTTTTGTGAATTCAAGAATACTCTTGAAGAATGTTTCATCCTTTGAAACATAATTTTTGCTGATAAATTCTGCCAAATGATGGAAGAAATCATGATTTATCATAAAAGCATTTGCGTAAATTGTTGCAATGTATTCGAAGTAGTCTTTCATTGGCAAAGAACCTCTGAAACAATTGTCGTAGTTGTTACAGAAGAAGTTGACAACTGCTTTGACAAATTTAACTTCTATGTTTCTGTTTGAAATCTGTTCAATTCTAAAAATAGCAGAATAAAAATCTTGTGGCAAAACTATTTTTCTTTCTTTCGCCAAAATTGATTTGTAAACAATAGCTTCATTCATTGTCAAATTACGTTTAGTAATCTGATCCATGAGCTTAACAATGTCTGTGTCTAATATACTGTCACGAATGTAAACAGTGATATTTTCGTTGAAGGGAACTTCCCTTTGACAAAAAGTGTCAATGAAACTGATGGCAACTTTTTTGTCTTTTTGATGATTTGATAACAAATCAACGACAACAAAGAAAACATTAATGAAAGTATCATGTAATTTTGCAACATCAGTTAATTCATACAATTGAATCAGCTTTGTTAAACAAATTAAAGTACATTTTGGATTATATTTTCCAAGATTTTCCAAAATGAGATTTCCAACTAAACTATAATCATTTGTATACTGATGAATATAAGTAACAAAGCGCTCTACATCTGCATCTTCATCGTCACGAATAAATTCTAAATACGACTTGATTAAATCTGGCAAAATTTTGTCAGTTTTTTGGCAAGTTTTCAAAATCAAATCATAATATTGACTTAAATGAATTGATTTCGAACAAGCTTCTGATAATTTCATATCTATCATGTGCTGTGTTGTCAAGAAACCATAGCAGGACTTGAGGTTGTTTGACATGTTTTCGTATAAATCACCATGATAAATCAAATAAGAAAATCCTTTTTGTATCAAAGAAAATTCATCTTCATCAATGTCTTCAACTTGATTTATAATGCTGCCAATAACTTCAAGTAATAATATCTCTTGTTCTGGCTTCTTGAAGAAGAATGATCTATCAATCAAGTCTTTGCTATAATCATAAATAATTTTTGAACAAAGTTTCGAATTTTGATAAAAAAGTGACAAGAAAAAGTTCAAAAATATTTTTCCACCATTTTCAGGAGACAAAGATTGAACTGAGTTGAAAGCAGCTTTGAACAATTTGTTGTCTTTGATACTTGTCGCTGCAGAATCAACGAAACATGATGCTATTGGTTGGTAGCCAGAAAACTCATCTTTTTTGATCTCGTTCTCTAGATATTCCTCTAAAATGTTCGTGTGTGATCGAGTTAACATCAAAATATCTTTACATGTCAAATTTGTGTTGACAAAATCAAATTCGTAAACTATTTGTAAAGTTCTCAAAATATATTGTTTCACTTCATCAGAAACGAAATTGCAGTATTTCAAGCAATTCATTAAGAACAAGAACAAGTAGTTATTAGTTATAAGTGCTGGTTTTTCTTTTTTGTCATTGGAAATTTTGTCAAAATTTTTATCAAAAAATTTCCAAAATTCGATATGAGTTTCTTTTTCTTTGATCAAATTCGACTTCGTTATGTACTTTTCTAGCACCAAATAAGGGAACTTAGATAGATGAGAGATAACACTATTCAATGATTCAAACATCTTCGGATAATACTCTTTCTGTTCTGTAATTAATTCGAAGAAACAACTCAAAACAAAACTGAAACAATTTTCATCTTTGTTTAAATCAAAAAACGGTGTCATATGTTGTATGATGTGGCTTGTTTCGTCTTCAAGTCTCTTCTTGAAGATATTTTGACTTTCTGACTGTTTTGGACCTTTTTTGTTCGTCAAAACTGTTTCAAAACAATATTTTACAAAAGGTAATGAATCACAAAGTAAAGTATTGGCACAAATGAACAAACAACGCTTTTTAGGGTCCATGGCCTTCGAAGAACCAATTAATGTTGATACACAATCTGTCCTTTTGTTGATAAACTCTTTTATTTGCTTGTCAATGATGATTGAATTTAAATCTGTAAAAATATACTTAGAAAACGCGGTTATTTGCTGATCCGCTGGGAATACTTTGATCTTTGGTGGTAATGCCATCATCATTGTCGTAATTAGACCAACTGAAGTAACATCTTCATTTTCATAGTGAATAATTTGGACTAAAAAGAGAGATAGTATCTCCATTAGGTCGTCTTCACCAATAAATTGAAGAAGGTGAGTGATGTACTTTAATGCTGTGTAACAATCAATTAGATTTGTTGAATGTAATTTAAAATTGATCAAATCTGAGCATTTTTGAATGAATTTGAGGTAGGATTTGTATGTATCTTGATTTACATCAATGTACTTTATCTCTTGCATAGCAAAACAAAGAGCAATAAAATCTGCATTTGTTAAATATTGTTTTGATGAAATTTGATTGAATATTTCATCAAATATGATGCTGCTACTTGTATTAGAATGTAAAATGCTCGATAATATAATCGCTGGGCCGATTTTTGATTGTGTAAAATCAATTCCTTCGCCAAATTTGACGCCTGAATCAATAATTTTCTGTATTGTATCTTTAAGAACGTAATAGCAGTTGATATCAAGAAATTCATCGCTATATTTTGTTAAAATTTCATATAATGAATCAATATGATTTGTAATGCACTCTTGTTTTTCAAAAAACATGTATAAAATCAGCATGAGATAATTTTGTCTTTCGACTGTATTGGTTGTCGTTGAGATTTGCTTCTTACAATATTCGATAATCAAAGGAAACTTCTTTGTATTCCAACAGTATTGAACAAATGGGGAATTACGAGACACCCCACGTGTTATTGCTATGTCAATAGCCCTGTATTCTATAGAATCATTCATAAAAAAAAGATTACAATAAAAAAATTTTTGTTATTGTTTATTTTCCATCCCCAAAAAAAATCCAAGATTTTGAAGATTTTATTCTAGATCTGAGCTGAAAATAAAAAGAAAACTTATTATTCATAAAGATTTTCCAAAAATATGATACCGCAAAATTAAAAAAGTGACGTCCTGAGTGAGTCAAAGGTCGAAATTGCTAGCTAAATGTTTTTTAGCGAAATTGCGTATTGTACGTTTTTTTCGCAAAACGAAACCCTTAAACTAATTTATTCAACTGGTATAAAACTAGATTGCAATCATATCACAAGCAGTCAAAAAATTAAGAAATTCATTGAATTAAACTTCGAATCAAAAGGTGTACCTTTCAATTTTTGAATAGTTTACATTACTAATGCTAATGGTGCTTTCACTGAGAGTGAGTGGAGATTATCAAATACGAGAGCTCCAATAATCTGTACATGCAATAAGTAGTATAGTAGTTTCTAGTTATGCTTAAATTTCTGGTTTTAAGCTTGAACAAAATTTAGAAATCTTAAATTTTGAAGTTAAACACGAAAAAATCGTATCAATTCATCCTATGTGAATGTCTGTTTTATGATTCTTTGTTGTTTTCTCGAATTAGAGCGAATAGTTTGTGCGGTCCAAAGGCGTACCTGGCAGAAATCGACTTTTTGAGAGAAACTCATATAATTAATTGTATGACTTCTCTCAAAAAGTTGAAGGTAGGTACGCCTTTTGACTCGCAGTTTAATTTAGTCTAGTCAAAAAAACAAAAATAAAAATGAGTGATACTTATCATACAGGAAATAATGCTGAAATTGAAGTTTTTGAAAATGAAGGAATACTTCGTAAAATATATTCAAATTCAAGTTTCGTGGCAAATAATAGGAAAGGCGTAATCAATAAAATTCTAGAAACTGCAAAACTTTAAAAAGAGAACATTTTCCTCCAGGAACTCATTGACATTCATAAAAATGATGATGGTAGCCTTTACGCTGATTTTAGGCTCATTAAAGGAGACGATTTATACTATTATTTGGAAAAAAACAAAGCTTCAGATGCCGAAAAATTAGTATGGATTTATTTTATTGCCGATCAATTGGAGACTCTTCACAAAAACAAAATTATTCACAGAGATATTTGTCCAAAGAATATTCGAATTGATACAAAACATTACCCTCACATCATCGATTACGATGATGTTCAAAAAACAGACAATCCAATGATGACTTCTAAGCGCCATGGAACAGGTCTTTATCATTCTCTTGAAGTTATTAAATCTCTCGATTACACGCCAGCTTCCGATATTTTCGCACTTGGTGGTGTGATATATTATATAATGACAGGGAATGAGCCGAACCAAGCAGCTCAAGCCGTAATTAAATCCTGCGAAATTGAATTAGATCAAGTTCAAAGCGTTTTGGCAAATGTCGATCATATTTTGGACAAACCTCTTAAAGAAACGGAAAAGGATGTTGAGGAAATCATTTCCCTTGTTGAGAGATACCCAGAAGATTTTGAAGAATTCCAAGACCTCAGTCCGAATGATTTATATGATTAACAAATCATCAGTTACTTGAAAGATAATATCGATAAACTCAAGAAAAAGTTACAAATTAATCGAGAATCCGAAATTGAGAAAAGAATGCAAAACGAGGATAGGATCAAAGAGTTATATAATGACGAATACAATTTAAAGTCACTTGTATTGAGCTGCATCGCAACAAAACCAGAAAGTAGAAATAATGCTGCTTTTATTAAAAACTTTGTCTTAACAGAAGCAGCAACGCTTGATAAAGAACAGAAGCTTGAGTTCGAGAAATTGTTCCAGGCAGGAATTCTTGATCAGGTTGAACAATTGATCAATAATCATTTCCATATTGAACAAATAATGGAGAAACTCAACTTAGTAAATCCATTGCCTGAATTTGTTGCTAGGAAGAATGAATTATCTTTTAGAGCAGAAAAAAAGGCCAATTAATTTCTCATTTTATTTCAGTAAATACTTTTTAATTGACTTATAAACTTTAGATATATCAGTGAATATATGCAAGTGAGATACATCTTTTGAGAATGGAATCAAGATTTTCCAAAAATATGATACCGCAAAATTAAAAAAGTGACGTCCTGAGTGAGTCAAAGGTCGAAATTGCTAGCTAAATGTTTTTTAGCGAAATTGCGTATTGTACGTTTTTTTCGCAAAACGAAACCCTTATTATGAACTTAAGAATGGATGAATATTATGTAAATTCATAGTCAAGAAAGTACAATTGTTTACCAGAGTCACAATATTTCAATACTATTGTGAAATGTAGTCTTATCTGCCAAAAATATTACACTTCAATTTTCGGAGAAGAACCATTTTCCCTTCACCCGAGAAAAAAAAGCCAGACATTTTTCTTAAATTCAAAAAAAGATTAAAATTCCAACATTATTAAAATTAAAATTCCAGATAATATTAATATCATATCAGAATGAAAAATATATGTTGGATTTTTAAAAGTAAACCATTCAAAATTTAAAAATCTGTTGGTAAAATTAAATATTGATGTAAATTGGTTTTGATTCATTTTTATTATATCAAGCATGTCAAGGTCTGATGTTAAATTTAGAAGAATTATATTCTGTCCCAAATATAAAGACAATGGAACGATCTATGTTGTTGAAGGAAGAGGAAAAATTAAAGAACAATTTCATTTTACAAATGAAGAAGAGAAAAAAGAAAAGTTATTAATTTCAAAGTATTTACAGACACAACCAATCTATCCTATTGTAATAACAACCAGTCTTAGTCCGGAAAATCTTGAAAAAGAATTAGAAGATGGAGGGAAAAACCATGAATTAAATTCAGGACCAATAGAAGCCCAATATTGTTCAGATTCGAAGCTTTTATTTTGAATATTTAAATGATTCAAAAAAAATTAATTGTAAAATGATAAACGGATAAGATAAATAGCTTGTATTGTTAAATGTAATAAATTTCTTTTAAAAATGATCAATTTATTTAATGGAGAAGCCTTGAAAACAGAATTAAATTGACGATTGTCACTTATGTCAAGTTTAAAAAAATAACTTTTGAAGTATATATTAAATCTCATATTCAATAACTATGCTACTAAAATTTTATTTAAATTTTAATTTCATAATCAAATGTTTATCAAAAAATTCATTCAAAATAATGCATTAATAAATGTAATTAATCCTTTTATCTATATCTTCGATGATTTCTTTTCTCCAATGTCGCTTTTCATGTTTCTGAAATTATTTGCATGTAATTCCTAAGACTGTAAAGATAGTGACTAGATAAAAGTAGCCAGATACTGCATAAATAAGATCTCTTTGTGTTATTGGATAAATTATTTCATACGCTATATAATTAATGACTTCTTCAGTTGTACGATCTGTAATTTCAGTCATATCCAAGAAGTGCACTATGGCTGACTTTTGTTTAAAAAAATTTTTACAATCATATGATAATTTTGTTTGACTCGTAATATATAAATGGCTTCTATTCGGAAATAGATTCTGGTACTGTAATTTAGCATTAAATTTTCCTGGAATGTAAATATTCATTGGATTTTCAATGTCACGAAATGTTTGATCACCAAATGAGATCTCATTATTATTGCTAAGGAATGTAATACTTTTTAGATTTCTACAATCCTTAAATGCACGACTATCTATCAAAATCACATTTTCTGAGATTGTAATACTTGTTAATGAATTGCATGCAAGAAATGTACCTTCCTCAATCTTTATTACACTTTTCGGTTTATTAATAGTTTTTATAGCTTGGCAATGATAAAATCCGAAAAATCCTAGTGAAGTGATATTGTTGTGGAGTGCAATATTAGATATCTTTAGGCAGGAATCAAAACACATGTCAGAGATAGAAGTAACAAATAAAGGAACTATATATTCACCTGAAAAAGTTTGAACAACTTTATATAATGTGGAATTTTCTGTTCCTTTAAAAACAGATTTAGAATCACTATGAAATATCGGATTATTTTGGTCCACTGTAATGCTTTCTAGTATACAACTATCGAAGGTGATTGGACTGATATTAGTAACATTTTTTGAGAGAAAAATTGATTTGACTATTGTGTCTCTAAATATATTAATTCCTAAAGTTGTTAAATTCGAATTTGGTGATATATTAATCTCTTTTAAATTTAAGCATTCTGAAAAAGCGTTATCGTCAATTAATATAACAGAATCTGGAATATCTATTGAAGATAAATAGAAATTTGATCGAAAACAATATTTTCCAATACTTGTTATATTATTAGGGAATATAATTGATTGCAAATTGCAATTTTCAAAGATTGAAGAGTCAAGAAATTGAAGTTTTTTACATTCGCTTAAATTTACTGACTCAAGATATGAATCACGAAAACTATGGCTATAAATACTAACAATTTGGCTGTTTTCTTCGAATCTAAGAGATCTAATTACATACCTGCAATTTTTAAATGCAAAATCAGTACTACCTTGACTGTATATATGTACAACAGTTGATGGAATAACAACGTCACTTCCAATTTCGCTCGAACAATTAACAAGATCTTTATTTGAACTGTCTCGGTATCCAAAGAGACCAGTACTGTAACTGAGATAAACTAGAAAATAAAACAATGTGAAATAAAATCAAATTAAAAATTCATAAGTTCATAAAATTCAATTTGTTCATTCGTGGTAATCTTGTTGTAATTCAATGTATTTATATCTATTGAGATGCCCCAAATTTTTGAAGAATTAGCCAGAGTCACATGATTTTTCATATAAATGAAACAAATTGTCATTTTGGATATCTCAAATTTGGATCGTTTTGTTTTTTAAATTTGAAATGAAATTTTTAAACAGTTATTGGGAAGATAGACGCTAACAACACTAGTTGTATTTAATAATAAATGGATACACAATGAAAACAATAGATTTTTATGGAAAGGAATTGCAGAATCTCATTATGGAGAAAAAAAAATTGATTTTGTAAAGTTATGAAAAAAATAAAATGAATGAGTCAAGCACTTATTCAGAATTTTGAATACACTGCGGCTCACATCAAAGATTTTATTGATGAAGATAAGTTATTTTCTACATTCGAAATAGAAGACATCACTCAAATCATGAAATTTGCAAATTTGATAACAAACGACTTCATCAGCATTCTGAAACAATCACAATTTACAGTCAAAGCAAACAAATTATATATGTGTATTCGAAGCGCAAATGTTTCTATACAAAACTATGAAGATGCCATCAAAATACTTAAGTCATCTAAGAAATACCTTAAACTGACATTTCTTGATGGAGTTATTGATTTTTTAATGCACTCACAAAATGTTCCATGTGATTATACAGAGAAAATTCAAACTATTCAAATGCTTAAGCATTTGAAATAAAATGAAAAATTCTTCATATTTTCATGAAATGTATTTTCCATCAACTATAACATCATATCAGATTGAAAAATAGAATAAATATAGAACCACTATAATAATATTTATACTGAGCAAAAAGAAATTATCTAGTAGACGATTACTTTTAATTCAAATGCTGTTTGACATTAGAATCAAAAATAATCAGGGTTTGACAATCTTTAAATCATCGATTGAGAGGAAAATTGAGTGCTTTCTGACATAAAAACTCACAATGTCAAAAACTTTGAAAGGTCAAAAATTTTTTAGTGTCGGAAAGTTTACAAATGTATACTTTCTAACAAACAGAGTCTCAGAAAGTACTCAAACGGCGGTTTTTAATTTCCGCACTTTTTTGTCGACCTTATATTCGTTGATTTCTTTTATTTAATGCCGCTTTTCATGTTTCTGAAATTATTTGCATGTAATACCTAAGATTGTAAAGATGGTTTCTATATAAAAGTAGCCAGATACTGCATAAATAAGATCTCTTTGTGTTATTGGATAAATTATTTCATATGCAATATAATTAATGATTTCTTCTGTTGTACGATCTGTAATTTCAGTCATATCTAAGAAGTGTACTATGGCTGACTTTTGTTTAAAAAAATTTTTACAATCATATGATAATTTTGTTTGACTTGTAATATATAAATGGCTTCTATTCGGAAATAGATTCTGATACTTTAGTTTAGCATTAAATTTTCCAGGAATTAGCTTAGATATTCATTGGATTTTCATTATTGCTGAGGAATGTAGTACTTTTTAGATTTATACAATCCCTAAATGTATTTATGATTTTGTAAAGTTATGAAAAAAATGAAATGAATGAGTCAAACACTTATTCAGAATTTTGAATACACTGCGGCTCACATCAAAGATTTTATTGATGAAGATAAGTTATTTTCTACATTCGAAATAGAAGACATCACTCAAATCATGAAATTTGCAAATTTGACAACAAACGACTTCATCAGCATTCTGAAACAATCACAATTTACAGTCAAAGCAAACAAATTATATATGTGTATTCGAAGCGCAAATGTTTCTATACAAAACTATGAAGATGCCATCAAAATACTTAAGTCATCTAAGAAATACCTTAAACTGACATTTCTTGATGGAGTTATTGATTTTTTAATGCACTCACAAAATGTTCCATGTGATTATACAGAGAAAATTCAAACTATTCAAATAGAATTATCAGAAATTCAAAATCAAAAACAACAAAGTGAAAAAGAACTCGAATCATTAAAACTTCAGCTCAATCAAATAATTGAAGAAAACACTAGATTAAAGGCAGAAATCTACGACAGAAATAGAAATGTCAATCAAGTCAACGAAGAATTAATTCAGAAAGAAAGTTCAGATTCTCCAACTAAACTAAACGACGTTGAAAACAAATTTAACGTCTTCAAGAAAAAGGAAAGGAAAATATCATCCTCTTCTTGCTCGTCATCATCTTCATCAGAAGAAGAAAAGGCTGATCATCTCAAGTTCACAATTCGTAAAGTTTCTGAAGAACTAAAACCAGAAGGAAAACCAAAGAAGTTATTACTTGATGTCACAGTTGTCAAAGCCACCGATTTAGCATCGATGGATCTTAATGGTAGATCAGGTCCATATGTCGTTTTGAGTCTTAATAATTCAGAAGATTTCAAGACAGAAGTTGTCAAGAAGACCAAGAATCCAAAATGGAATGAAACATTCGGGGCGGTGTCATGTGAGGTGAAATTTATCATACACCGATTGGACCTTTTGCTTTCCCGAAAACATAGAATTTATATTGGGGGCCAAATATATGTGCATATATTTATACTAATCAAGCCATATTTACTCATATAGTATTGAGGAATAATGTGTTTTATATAAGATATGAATTTCAAAAATTTTGTTTTATTTCATTTTGAATACAATGAGGTATCTATATATATACTCTATATTGTGTTTGTAAACTCATTTTGGTCACATATCCATTTTTTAATCTGCATCTTATTTGAGATTTCAAATTTTTATCGACAATCATATATGATCACATCGGCATTTGGAGATACTTATCTTGTATCTCCAAATATCGATGTGATCATTGTATTTAATTGTATATTGACCAAGAGATTCCGATGCAGAATATTCAAAGTAGATAGTTTTTCCATTCTGTACACATAGGTGCAGGGTCTATCACTGGCACCCTGCACCAATATGTGCAGAATTGGAAAAGCTTGCACTTTTACCTTTCGATGCGAATGTGTCAAACACTTTTCCCATTCTGCACATATATATGCAGGGTCTATCACCGGCACCCTGCACCAATATGTGCAGAATGGGAAAAGCGCGCACTTTTGTTCTTCGATGCGAATGTGTCGGACATAATTCCTGATTTGCTCATATATTTGCAGGGTCTATCACTAGGACCCTGCACCTATATGAGCAAATCAGGAATTGCTTGCACTTTTTGCTCGCGATGTAAATGTGTCAGACACAATTCCTGATTTGCTCATATATTTGCAGGGTCTATCACTAGGACCCTGCACCTATATGAGCAAATCAGGAATTGCTTGCACTTTTTCACTTGAATGTGATTCATTGAATTTCAATTCGAGAAAGGAGTTTACAAATGCAGGGTATTGTTCCTTTACCCTGAATTTGTTAACTCCTTTCTTGTAAAACCTTCCTCCAAAAAAATATAAAGATCACATTCTTCTTAAAACTCTCAAAATCTCATTATTTCAATCTTATAATCATAAATAAACATACTCTTTCTATCTAATATTTCTCTATTCCTTAATTTTCTTATGAAATTTATTATTTTTTATTTAATTTTTAAAATTTTCAATTTTTTTTGGATAATTTTATTCAATTGTATGATAATTTATTCTATTCTCATTATATAATAATATTGTTCATTTTTATTTTTTTAATTTTTCAATGCATACGATAATTTTTAATTCAATTTTTAAACGAATGCTTTGATGGGATGAGCTTACTGAGCATAGGCTTTCATCGAGGCCAGAGTTTACAATTCATCAGCTCAGAGCCAAGTTCCTCGACGGTCGTCCTCATTAGGCCCGATCCGAGAGGAACTTGGCTCTTCATTAAAATCACAAGCTCTGGCCATTGCTAAGGCCAGAGCTTCGCAAACCATCCTCGGGGCCGGTTTCTTCAAAGACCGCCCTGATTCGGGGCGGCCGGAGAGGAAACCAGCCCCGAGAGAGTTCCCATACGAAGCTCTGGCCCAAGCAAAGGCCAGAGCCTGCAAATACAATCCTCAGGGCCGAGTATTTATAAAAATATACAGCTTTTTGTATAAATTTTTGAACTACTCCAGAATATTCGTAAAGGTTACCGTTCGGAAGATATACACGCTGTCGAAACACTTCGTTAGCAAGTGATGAAATGCTAACGTGGTCTAAAGGTGAAAGTCTAAATTCTTTTGTGAAATCATGACAGAATTTATTAAATCCTAACCTTAATATTTTTACATCCTGCTGACAGTAAAATTCAGCGTAAACGTACATATCGAAATGTTCTTCATCGATTCTGCAGTTAGGGATAGCGTCAATGTTTGAAATAAATAACTTCATATCCTCATCATTCCATATTTTATCTTCATCCTTTCCACATTCTTTAATCACTCCTTTATTCTCTTTTAATCTTTCAAGTGTGTAATACTTATACGGGAATACTTCCTTTCTTCCACTATTTAAATTAAACATTGAAGGAATTTGGGATAACTTACAATTTAAAATCGGTAATGTATCCCTAAACTGTAAAACTTTATTTTCAAATGTTAACGTTGAATTCATTATTTTAGTTCCTTTCTGAAGCATGTGTTGCATTTCTCCTTTATGACAAAACATACGTAAATCATATGCAAGATTGTGAAAATAAACTATTGCTTTATCGGGAAGGAATTTAAGGAATTCATACGCGCAATCTTCACCTTTAAAAGTTTTTGTTTTAGTTCCTGATGAGTTCTGAAGGCATACCATAAAGGGTTTATGAATCTCACCTGAAACATCAGATTCAAAATCAGCGTACCAGTATGTAGTTTGTTCGTCTTTTTCAGTTTTAAATGATTTCCTCATCAATCGTGTGCAAAATTCAGGATTGTAGTGAAGGTCTACATCCTCTACATCCTTTATATCTTTATGAAAACATGTTTGAACTGTGCTAAAATCATTCCATGTCATTGGTTTAAAACATACGCAGGGTTTATTTAATTTAACATTCACCTTATCGATGCATATTAACAATCTTATTAAAGCTCCGGACATTAAAAATCTGTCTTCTCTTTTGTCTGTTGCCCAACCCTTACTTTTTGAATAAGTCCTATTTTGGTATGATAATGGTATATCCTCTCCGTATAAGTATTTATGGATACAAAATGATTTAGTAATATTTGTTCTTTCTTCAATGAAATAATGACCATCAATAATGTTTAACGTTATATTTTTATCACCGCATCCCAAAACGTTTTTTCTCTTCGAATTCTTTCGCTGGTCCTGTATTTGACAAATATCGTATTGCTTTAATTCTTCCTCTAACATTAAGTCTAAGTCGCTTTGCGACGAAATGCATGAAGTGCATTTTTCCTCGTGTGAAATTTCCGAACTCAAAAGATTTTCGTTAATGGTGTTCATGTCTTTTTATAGAAAATAAAAAATAAATTTTTTAAAAAAAGAAACTAAAGTTTCTCCGCCGCAAAGCGGCTTAAACTTAATTATTTTTAACCAAACTGTTGATTGCTTGATAATGATTTTCTAAAGCTTCCCACATAGCAGAAATACTTTTACCATTAAATAACCATTCGGTACCATTATACTCAGCAATAATTTTTTCATTTTTGACCACCTTTAACGCTCCCTTATCATCCGTTATAAACTGATAGTCACCAATTTTCACATCATTTCTGTCAAACTTCGATAAATCAACTTTGAACATTTATGTAAAAATAAAATTTCAGTTCTTAATATTTAGTTTCTTATTTACCTGGTGGTGTGTCATTACCGATATACTTTACGCCTTGTGAGGAAACTAGGAAATATGTATCTCTACATAACCATATCTGAGGTGCTGGAGGTCTTGATACACCGTTATTGAAGTTATAATATGTATCATTCTCTCCCGTATATAATGGGTTTCCTTTAATTTGTATTGGTATATTCTGACCGTCTGAATCAATGCCGTCGAAAGTATATCCGGCGTTATTTCTTTCACACTGAACGTTCCACATAAACGATGTACCATCACTTAAGCAGTTTTGATATTTCTGACCCGATGGGGTATTTCTTGCCATTACAATAGAATCTTCAAATTCTTTAGTGCATTCCAAACCTCCTGATAAGTCAGAAGCTACCAAATTTTGTTGTAAGAAACGAGCACCTGTTGAATCAACCGGCTCGTCTGGCATGTTCTTTCCATTAACGGTAAGCTGAAGGTTTGTATAAATTGGGTTCTCAAATACTGTATAATCGTTATCATGTTTGGGGAACATTATACTTATGCATGTTGTGTTAGTTACTGGCATGTTGATTGTTGATTGAATACCAGCAGCTGAGGCAGCAATCGGGAAAGCGTTATAATCAAGCTGTTGAGAAGGAATAATTTGAGGAGTACTGAATATTTCATGAATCTTTTCCTGAGTCGTTTGATTTACACCAAAACCGTACATATTTGATTTCAACATTAAGACTGTCATTCCCACACACTGAAGGTTGCACATTCCTTTATCTACATCGAGTGATTTAACCTTCTGACCTCCTACAGTTGAAGTCGTTATGTTAAATTTATTTATAATTTCTGCTTCATTGTTAATTTGTGTGAATGCATGTCTGAACATTGATGATAAATTCTTATCGGTTGTGAAATTAATGCTCTGACCTTCAACATATTCTTTATACATCTTAACATTCATTGGGTCAACCATGCACCAAACAAGCCCTTTGGACTTTACGTAAAATTTACATTCTAACTCTCCGCATTCACGATTAGGATAAAGGTCGAAAGCCTGAAGTGCTAAAATATCGTCAAACGGTAAGTTAGCTTCAAATTCGACGGGATGAGGTAATCCATCTTTGAAATCAGCAATGTTTATATAAGTTCCGCAAACAGATGAGGAGCTTAGTAAAGTGAATGAGTAATTTTTTAGTCTTTTTCTCCTGTTTTGGCTTGATTGTCGAATATGCAAAACCTTCCCTAACGCATTCGTTTTGCTGGAGACGATACCATGTGAGGTGAATTTTTCCCATACCACGATCGTCCTTTTGAACAGTATGCAGTGGCAAAGGTTGATATTCAGACCTGATCTTTTAGGGGCAGATGCGCTATATATGTGCGCATCTAAAAGTGTAGCAATGAATGGAAAATATTTTTGGACCCAAGTTATTCACATTATAAATTTATCAAAAGTCAATATTTAGATCAAATATTCTTATGCGCATATTATATAGCCTTTATATAACAATATTATATATATAATATATGAATATCTCACAACTTATAGTATGACATCTTATATAACTAATTCAAATATCGAAATATGAATATAAAAATTGTGTCACGATATATTATTGGTGAGTTTATGAATGAGTAGAGTACTATTATAAAGAAATATTAGAGTTTTATTCAAGTTGAGATGTGATTGCGAATGTCTTCTTGTTCTTTCGGCGAATGCAGCGAGAGTTAGAAAAAAAAAAAAAAAAAAAGGTAGTGGGGCTTCCAGGGCTGCGCCCCTCTAGCCCCTGAAGATGTTTAGTATAAATGAAGTTCTTATATACGGGTCTTCCAGGAGCTTTTCACAAAATATATATGTTTTCATGTTTTGTCACTTTTCTGTCACTTTTCAGGTAAAAACATTTTTATTATATATATATAAAATGAATTTTACAAAACCACCGTTACCCTTCTTTGGAAATAAGAGTAGATGTAAAGATATTCTATTGAGAGAACTTAAGAAACTACCGATTGGTCTAACATTTGTAGATTTGTTCGGTGGAAGTTTCTATATATCTCATTTGTGCCATACTGTATTTCCTGACTCAAAGATTATATGCAATGACTTCGACAACTATATGAACCGTCTCAAACATATACCAGACACAAACAAAATATTGAAAGAGTTAAAAGAAAAGATACCTATAGGTAAGATGGAACGTATACCATTAGATAAGAAAAATACTGTCAGAGAGGTTTTGAAAAAAGCAGAGTATATTGACTGGGATAGTATATCTTCTAGACTATTGTATAGTGGTTCTATAAGAGTTCATGAACATTGAAACACTTATGTCAAAGTTTTATATCTTAACTATACAAAGGTTTTCAAAGAGAACATAGAAAAATAACTACTGGGTATAGAGTTTGTGAGATGTCGTTGGACAGAGTTGTATGAAAAATATAAAGACAAGGAAAAATGTTCTTCTTTATAGTAGACCCGCCGTTCTATAACACATATGATTTTCAATACCAAGTAGACTGGACTTTGAGAGACTCTTTAGAAACTTTAGACGTTGTACATAACCATCCATGCTTTTACTTTCATCCGATAAAAGTGGTTGGAAAGTGTCATGAGATGGTTAGAGACATACATGACTATGAGTTTAGATACGATAAGATAGAATATGAGAGAGGTCCTATAAACCGGAGAAAGTGTCAATAACAAAGAAATTTTATTGGTAAGTAAATGTGGTTTGAAATAGGACTACTTGTTTTAGGTTTTTTTCATTGTGTCATTTACTTATTTGACGTGGCAGAAAGATATAGAGAATATGAAGATGAACCAATGCCTGCAAATGTCCAGTATATGTACTCGTAAGAGATATTTTTATCTAATATTAAATGGACGCACAGAACTTAGCGAATGCACAGCAACCTGACAACCAAACCCAGAGAATATTCCAAATGAAGTTAGAATACAAACTGCAATGGCAAACTATGGTCAAGTGCCAACAGATGTACATGCAAACTGCCATGTCAAATGACGCTGCGTTAGGTTTGCCACCATGGTATGCAAATATGAGATGGAAAGAGTTTTATACAAACCCTGAAGTGGGATATAAAAACTCTATGCAGATGACGCGAACACAGGAGTTGACCCAGAGTATGTTTTCTACCAGAGGAGAAATAGAATGTATGAGCTCCAGTTAAAAAATGCTATGGAACTCAGAAGGAAACGTAAGAGACTAGGTGGACATTAGATTTTTACATATAGTAAAATGGGTTTCTTCAGTAGTATTGGAAACTTCTTCAGAAGAGTTGGAAGAGGTATATGGAATGGAATAAAATCTGTCGGAAGAGGAGTATGGAACGGTGTCAAAAATATTGGTAAAAGAGTAGGTCAGTTCGTTGGTATTATACCTAAAGACCCTGAACCAGAAGAACAAGCTCCTGTTATACAACAGCCTGAACCTGCACCACAGTCTAGTTGGCAACCAAATCCAACACCTCAACCGTATTAAAAAATTATATTTTTTACCGTTCGATAGTAGTTGTATATGAAACTAAGTTCTAAGTAAAACACATGGTATAATGGAATTATTCTCTTTCTTCCATCTGTTGTAAACCATACTTGAAAGTCTGAAATACTTCCACTCGGTGGTTCATATAGCTTTGTAGGTTTTTCGTAAAAGTCATTTGCCAAGCATAAAAAAGAGTTTTGGGCGCCAGAAAATGAAGCATGAACTATAATAGCATCTGAGTCGAAAACATTTTCATATGTTCCATTAGGGTTTTCGACTTCATAAAAGTCCGGGTGTACTGGATATTCTGCAGGCTGATTTAACATCCTCAGAAACCTATACCATGCCAAGTTGTTATATTTTGTAGAAATATAAACGTCTTCTCCAAGGTCTTCTATTCTATTGATTTTAACAGTTGCATTTTTCCTGTCATATATAATATCGAGATGGTACTCTCCTTCGTCAATGTTGTACTGTTTTGCATATTCGAGATAGATATCGTTTATTTTTTCTTGAAAAGCTTGAAGAGTTGTTTCTAAGTTTACAAGCAAATTCACTTGTAAAAGTTTTCCCTGTTCAAATTTCTCATACGTACGTTTCTCTTTGTTATAGTATCGAATTTCAAAAGCGACCGTAAATGGGAAACCATGTATGGCTTCTGAAATGAACTTCATTCTACGAAAGCCAATAGCTTTTGTGACGGATGGGTCTCTTAGCCATCTTAACGGGTAGTCAAAACGATAGCCTTCATGCTTTACGGTCTCTGTCTCAAACTTTTGACCGACATTGGTAAAAAGTTCATCTAATGGTTTAGTTGTAGCAACTCTAGAATTTTCTTTTTCTATTGAAAGCATATTTTATCTAGAATAAAAATGTCGAAAGAAACAGCGTCTATGAGAGAAATACAACACAACCGACAACTCATTTTGCAAGCTCTAAATAAGAACACAACAAACTTTTCAAACTATTCTAAGATATCTGAGTCATTGAAAGAAGGAAACTTAAAACTGACGATAAACCCATTGACAGACGAGTTTCTGTTTCAAGACAGTAAGAACCATACTGTTTGTATAAATCCAACAAAAAGAACTTTAAACGAGAAACCTATAGATGAACTTCTTTTGAAAGCAGATGTTGACAACAAAGCTGAAAAGAGTATGTCATTGAAAAAGTTCAAGAAGAACATGACAGAGCAGATGCAACATATGCAACAAAAGAACATACTCATCCTGAACTAGCGGACAAAACATATGTTGACAATAAAATGTCAAGTGAAGTGACAAGAGCTGAAAACGAATATTCTAAAAAGACTCATACACATACCATTGCAAATATTACAAACTTACAAGAAACCTTAAACAGGAAAAGTGACGTTGGACATACACATACCATTGCAAATATAACAAACTTACAAGAAACCTTAAACAGTAAAAGTGCCGTTGGACATACACATACCATTGCAAATATAACAAACTTACAAGAAACCTTAAACAGTAAAAGTGCCGTTGGACATACACATACCATTGCAAATATAACAAACTTACAAGAAACATTAGAGACAAAAGCAGATAAAACATATGTCAATGAAATATACCAAAGTTTAGTTGGAACAACAAAAAATATTGAAACTATTGTTGGTGACTTTTCTATCTATGAAGAAAACAAATATTTTAGATGGGAGTTTGTACAGTCTTTAAGAAATGGTATACGGTGTAAACTCATTCCGAAAAATAACAATGAAATGTATGTAAGCTATAAAAAGAACGATGGTACACAAGTTAAAGTTCCATTAGACAACAACTGCTACTTAAACTTCTATGGAGACGAACAAAAGAAATATTTAAGAGTTTATGAAATGGCAGATATGACATTGCCTGACCCAGCTCCAGCACCATACTATTATGACTATGGTGTTGACGTCAGAACACTACACGCAGACCCAAAAAAGCAAACATTCTATTTAGATTTTTATAGATATAAAAGATATAATGCAATAGAAAAAACGAGAATAGTATACTATTATACAGATGACAGAAATAAATATTATAGTCAAGACTTTACCTACCCTGAAAACATAAGATTATATTATAAAAAATATTCTGACACAAACCAGAAGAAACCTGAAATGGTTGCACTATATTTTAAGTTCAAAAGAGACAATCCTATAATATCTCATATGTTTGATTTCATGAACCCAGTAGGTTCTATTTACACGTCAATGGAAGCAAGAGGTCCTCAAGCAATGTTTGGTGTTGGTGCATGGGAACAAATAGTCGACAGGTTTTTGTATTGTGCAAACTCTTCAAAGGAAACAGGTGGAAGTAAAACGATTTCAGGTGAAAACCTACCTGCGCATAGTCACTACGTAAGTTTAACTACATCTCGAGAAGGTTGGCATAAGCATAGATATTGGGATTGGACAGGAATGACAAAAGGTAAAGGATATGATGTTAAAGACGACGTTAAGTTTGCT